AAACCTGAGAGTACGGTTACCTTGAAGATAGTAACCTCTATAGAGCTATAGTGGCGTATTGAAATTGATCAGTAACGATAGAATTTATATGAATGAGTGACCTTGCGCTTGTTGTTGAGATAACCTTATGAAAATAACTAGATCTCCTCAATTAAGAGGAATTGCTCAACAAAATTATGTTTTTGTGAATGTACACGTTCCGTTGGATTGGATAGCATAAAGAAATCCATGTGTTCCTAGGCAAACCTGAGGAGACGGTGGTCCTGAAGATGGCAACTTCGATATTCCTATAGCGACGTGTAGAGTGATCATTAACGAGCGATCAATCTATAATATATTATCAATGAGTGTCACTGCGCTATTTGAGATAGCTTTAATGAAATAGCTATATCTCCTCAAAAAAGCAAAATCGCCCGACAAAATATATGTTTTTCTGAATTTAGAGATTCTGCTGGATCGAATGGTGTACAATACTTGATATGTTACTCAGCAAACTTGAGAGTACGGTAGGCTCGAAGATGGTTGCGCCCACTGCGCTTTAATAATGTAGATATTGACCTACAGTGATCAGAAGTGGCAATTTCTTCACATCGTTAGATTCTCCAGATTCTCTACTTTCAGATATGTATATATGTTACGAGTGATTTTACTTACTTAAGGAGATGTAGCCATTTTTTTGAACTTGTCTCAAGTAGCTCGGCTGCGCTCGTTTCAATACAATGTATCTAATATTTGCACGAAATCTCAGTAATACCGAATTCCGTCATTAGGAAAGCGATACCGATCTCGAGATTCGTGGTGTCGGTATTTTCGGTATTCATACCACAAGTCATTTTAAGTGAATTTGGTAGTATATCCATCATGACTGAAGCATGAGTCATTCCCATCAATATTTTTGGTTCTTTGTTGAATTTTTTGTTGAATTCCTTGAGCTTTGGTGAATGATTTGTTAAATTAATTTTTTTCTGGATAATTATGAACACATTGGCTCAAGAAGAATGTGTTGAAAAAATCGCATTTCTAAATTTCAAAAGTTTCTTTTCAATACCGGCATCGTCGGTATCGAAAAACGATACCGGTATTGATATCGATCTCGGTATCCAGAAAATCGTCGATATTTTGCAAACACTAATCAGAACGCCGCAATTGTGAACTTTAAAGTATGAAGTGTGCCTACGTCTACTCCGATGCAAATTGACAACAGACGACTTGTTTTGAACGAGCGATTTTACGCTTACACATTCCTTTGATTTTACATGAAACGTACACTTAGATTTGTCGTAATTTTTCACTTATTCATTTTATGAAGGTTACGTATTAACTGACATCAGAAGCATCGTTCAGCGTGCTTGTAGTAATATTCTCAATTGCTTAAATTTCCATAGAATGCTGCGTAAGATTACCGATGGAAATATTTTATGTCAGACATCTTTGCGCTTCGCCAAGTTTCGCCCTTTTAACGTTTCGGCGTCTTGCGCCATCGTCAGGGAAGGAATCGGAAGAACAAGAAACAATTGTTTTTACAGATGTAGAGTAAAAATCATTATGCAAAATCGGTATGCTGGTACTAAATATGCGGAGAAGAGTTTTGAAAATATAGAAAAACAATTATGGAAATAAAGAAAACTTGCAAGTATATGGTAACATTTTGTGAGCGCCTGTTTGTGTGAATGTGAGGATTGGAAGAGGAGTTAGTAAATGTTGAAGGTTAGATTATGAATTTCAGTACTCAAGTAATTCCTCACCCATCTGAAGATGACGTACGACGCCGAAATGTTGGAAAGACAAAAGTACCGTAAACGCGGTTGAAGCAAGCGGTGTGCACCGTAAAATATTATTATCATTATTAAGTTTGAATCACGGTACGGCTTACGAAAGAGGTTGCAGTTGAAGTGTTCAATGAAAAGCTGATTTTCTTATCTTTTTCGAAAACTTTGTTACTGACAATAATTCTCAAATCATTCATGAATTTCATGCATTCGCGTTTGCATGCTTTCGTGCGTGAAGGCTGGTTACTGGAATGTGGTCGTTATTCTAGTGCGTTACCTTTTATTTAGTCAGGTGAAAGGAACAGTCTTGGGTATTTTCTATCAGAGTTATGTACGGCATGTGATTGAATCCAATCCGTCTATGCGTTCCACCGCTTGTGGCGGAATACGTTAACGTTTCGACGATTACCTCATTCGATAGTTGATTTACCCAGAATGTATGTTTGTTCAGTCATATGCGTGCACGACTACCCAAGAAATTTTGTTTTAGACGTTGTCGACATCAGAATATGAGTGGATGTTATAGTTATTTTTCCGAGTGCGTTGTCAATTTGAAATCGTAACATCATAGTTTTTGCAAGCATCATTTGCACCCAAATCTTTTCGACAATCCACATATTGCGTATATTATGAATTTATTTTTTGAAAGGACCAATCTGTATCAAAGCATTATTACTCATGTTATGTATGCAACGCATTTAAGATCAACCGAGATTCGGTCAATTTATTATTTTGCGTGTTTATTTTGCCATATGTTAGCGACGTTGACAGTTTCTTTTAGTTTCAAAATGCGTTGGTTAAACTATTTTTTTCAGATTTATAATTAATAACAGCATTAGAGAAGATTAAATTTGTAGCTGTTTCCAGTGTTTGTTAGCACATAAGAAGCAGTGCGAAAGGATAACGAGAGAATGGCAACGGTTGTTGAGCTTACCATCGAGAAAATCGATGAAGTGAAATCTCGACTTGGGCGGTTAGTTATTGTTTACATTCATGTTTCATCTCAAAATTGTTGCATTTTCATGCAGTTTGTCGATTATCATAAATTGCTTATCATCATTTTCGAGCTTTTTTGCTTGTACCGAAAGTTGTTGTGAAAACTAATGGTCAGTTCTAGTGATCCAACCTGATCATCCAATAATATGTATTCATAATTAAGGTGGCAATTAAAATTCAGAATTTGATCAGCCTTTTAAGATGCAATTCTGTTTAATTTTCACTTAAAGGAATTGGAATTTCATCTTGTACACCGTAAATTGTGATATTTTACCCCGAAATACTTGCTATACTTTAGTAGGATAATTGTTATGCATATCGCTTCAGAGTTGCTAGCATTGTCTTTCTCCGCCTTTATTGTAATACACTCGAAAGTGATAGGGCATCCATGAAGTTTTATTTTGATGGATTTAAGCATTCAAAATCTTCAAGCATCGAGAAATCCTGCATCTAATTATTTAACATATCCGATTTATCTCAAATGAATTATGTCCAGCTATAGCTAATTTTATATTGATGATGTCTCTCTTATCCACGTTTACACTAGCATTTCACCGACACTCTTCATCGAATTCATTGTACATGTTTAAATGTTATCTAATCCAATGATAGAAATTTTAAAAACAAATTTGTCATACGCTCAGCTCTCACTGACCTTTGCTTTTACAACTGTTGCTGTCGAAAAGTGAGGAAACTCAAATTGATTGCGTTGCATATGTTTTTATGCTTCATAAGTGGTTATTACTCGGTCAGTTAATGTTGGCCCGTACCGAACGGTGGCTGAAAGATATGCGAAATCAATTTATCATTCATTGCATTTGTCCATACAGGCGTCTATCGATTCGATTCACAAGTTGAGGCCCTAGCTTACAATCATACTTATGCATCTAATTTAAATCAATCTTCATCGTTTTTATTCACGCATTTAAATTTATGGTGTGATTTAACTTTAACTAGCATAAGTTATCATCGTTGGCTGTTCTCTCATCAACTGAGTCGTTTTCGATTTCGTTCTTGTTCACTTCATTTATTCTTTTCACATTTTTAAATTGCTCTTGAAAATTTTTTTTCGTTCCATTGTGCGTGTTCCTTTAGATTATTATGTGTTATTATTTTGTTATTCATATTTCAAAATTTTGTTTTTTGTTCGTCATTCCTTTTTTGTTTTTTCGTTTCGACTCTTCAAAATACTTTCTCATGCGTGAAGCCAAAGTCGCCCACATCTCTGTAGCACTAGCTGCTAGCTAATTTTCGAATAGCATTTACCTTCCTCGTTTCTCCTTTTTATTGTTTGCTTCAACTTTATTTAATCAGAATTCATTCCGTTCGTCATATGCATTAAATTATAAACAATTCATGATGCCAAGCAGGGGAAATGATATTTTAAAGTGCACAACAAAATAAATAAAGAGTTCAATTCACTTTGATAGAATATGAAATTTTCTGCGGTTTTTGAATATCGTAACTATTTTCTGTCTTCATTAAAGCAATTACACAATGTCGAAATAACAAGAGAATGAATGTGTCCTGTTTGTATGGAAAATCTCAAACGAATTCATAAATGCCTTTCTCAACATAAAGGTTTCAACGGAACAATTTTCAAACAAGCGATTATCAAATTTAATCTCAATAGAACAACTTACGTTCGAATATCAACAAATTTCTGTATGTCTTTTTTCACATATGCGTATTCCATCATTCCTGCTTCCATTCAGCATATTTCAATTAAATTAAGATCACGGAGGCAAAAGTTATTGTCGCTTGCGTTTTCCTATGTTACAAGCCACGTAACGCGTCTGTTTCAGCCATCCAAAGAGTTGATAATCTATGCTGATTTATCGACCCGTTATCGTTATTATACTTAACTTCCATTTTTATCGTGATTTGTTTCTGTTGTTTTAGCTGTTTTTCAGTATTCAAATGCTGTTCATCTATCCATTTTTGAACGAATTTGAGAGATCGTCTCAACAAATATTTGCATGTGTAACCCATCAGTTAATTAATCGAAGTTCGTGATGTGAGCAATTATCTGTATCTGTGATCGGTTATTTATAGCGACCTGTGAATTAAGATTGGAGCTGTATTAGAGCACTATGTAGCTAATAAGTAATGTTACAATGGAATGAATCGTTTACCACGATGAGGATTTTGTAGATGGATGAGGATGTTCTGAATGTATATGGGTGATAAATGGTTGAATGATATTTGAAATTCAACGAGGTACTGATGAATATAATGGAAGGATTATTGATACAATGTCTAGTTGATATTAGGAATGTTCATTCTAGATCATTGGGTACACCGATGCGTTTACGAGACTTAATCCGTCAAGTGCGTGCAGCACGAACAATGGCTGAAGAACGTGCAGTGGTTGATCGTGAGAGTGCAAATATTCGCGAGACATTTCGTGATGACGATAGCCCATGGAAATGTCGTAATATTGCCAAGCTGCTTTATATTCATATGCTCGGCTATCCTGCTCATTTTGGTCAGGTATGTGAATGACTATTCAAAACTTATTGAACTAAATACATGGGCTATCGTTGCAAAATTCACTCACTCAGTGATAAGTAACCGTATTTTGTTTAGATGGAATGTATGAAGTTGGTAGCACAGCCGCGATTTACTGATAAGCGTATCGGTTATTTGGGTGCCATGCTATTACTTGATGAACGCTCCGAGGTGCATCTGCTCGTCACAAATTCACTGAAAAAGTGTGCTTGCTTATTATTCTGAAACATGTTTATAACCTTTTTGGGCCATATTTTCGTCGGTTTATTCGCTGAATTTTGAATGCGAAATAATTTGATTGATTATGTGACAAGAACGAAAACATGTTTTAACTTATGAAGTGATCTGAATGCATCAACGCAATTCGTAACTGGTCTTGCACTTTGCACTCTTGGCTCAATTTGCTCATCGGAGATGTGTCGAGATTTGGCCGGTGAAATCGAAAGGCTCATCAAGTCAAGTAATACTTACATCAAGAAGAAGGTTATCTCTCATTTCTGTTTTGTTTTTAATATTTAACTGATCACTACTTAATGATAATACTCTAATATTTTGCTGAACGCGTGCAACTGTACAACGAGTGTCATGGAAGTATAAGTAGTTTACTTATCTATTTCTCTTGTCATCATTAGCACGTAATTATTGTTGCAATGTATGCTAATAGCTTTCAGGCAGCACTGTGTGCATTTCGAATCGTTAGAAAAGTACCGGAATTAATGGAGATGTTTATTTCGTGCACGAAGGCATTGATTAATGAAAAAAATCATGGTTTCTTTCCTCTTATTTGCATTATACGCTTATTTGATTCGTGCATCAGATAGATGTACTCTGAAGCGTGCTTTAATTTTATGTGGCTACTCGTTCAGTGATAACAGCAGTAGTGAGTTCGTCAAAATTTATCTCAGATATTAAATCATCTAAATTCTAGTCAGATATAATATTTTAACATAATTTAACAGGAGTGTTGATGGGCGGTATTACATTAGTGACTGAAATGTGCGAAAGAAGTCCTGATGTGTTGAATCATTTCAAGAAAGTTCGCTCTTTAATTCTTTTGTATTTTTCATTTCTTCTTCTGTGGCATCCTTCACCATATATGAATTATAATAATAGCCGTAATGATTATTATTATTAATCTGTGTTTAAATTTATTGTTACAATACTTCATAGGAATGGTATGTGCATACATTATAAAGCCGAAGGAAAAGTTTTTTTTAAGAAATCAATCTGAAACTTACGATTGAAATTTGTTCGAATGATTTTAGTTAGTGCCAAATCTAGTTCGTATCCTCAAGAATCTTCTGATGAGCGGTTACTCTCCAGAACACGATGTGACCGGTATTAGCGATCCATTTTTACAGGTATTCCCTGCCAACTTTGTTATCTTCTTTAAAACTATCGATTTTCATGCGGTTTCGTTTTCTTTCATTCATTAACAACGAAAGTTGTGGCTGTAAAAGATGAATGCCATTTATGAATCATCGTTATTCGTTACTTGGTGTGTTTGATTGTTTATCTGCTTTTGGAATCTCGTTTGGAAATAAATTGAAAAGAAAAACTTCAGAGAAAAATACACTGATAAGTTCATTTTTAAGAGAATAGTTCAATCAACGTTTGGAATTTTAGATTAAAATTTTAAAATTGCTGCGTATTTTGGGACAAGATGATGCGAAGGCAAGTGAAGAAATGAATGATATCCTTGCACAGGTTTGTTCTTCTGATTTTATTTCCTCCTATCTGTGTTATTCATTTGAATGCGTATTGATTTTTATGAATAGTGGTTTTATGGATCCGTATAATAATCACTATCAGAAGATGTATTTTTTAAAGGATGAACAAAGAGCGAAAAAGGGGGACTTAATGTTTTTTATAGAGTTGTGTTTGTTCAGCAAAGAATTACATCATATAGCATGACGCCAATCCGTTGTTTAGGTTGCAACAAACACAGAAACATCTAAGAATGTTGGTAATGCAATTTTATACGAAACTGTGCTCACAATTATGGAAATTCGCAGTGAGAGTGGACTGCGTGTTCTAGCGGTCAACATTCTCGGAAGATTTTTGCTCAACCCAGATAAGGTGGCTATTTTCATTTCATTTTTATTCTTATCACTCCTTGTAATCATCACTCTTCATTGTTATTTTTTCCGTAATCTATCCGACGTCATAATAATGCAACTTGAAATGATAGCTACTTCTAGATCAGCGTATTTGGTTGAAATAATCGTTATAGAATCATATAATTTTCATTTATAATTTCATTGAATAAATCGAAGTAAATTGTTTGCAGAATATTAGATACGTTGCGTTGAACACACTTTTGAAGACAGTAACGATCGATTATAACGCTGTACAACGTCATCGAACCACAGTGGTTGATTGCCTTAAAGATCCTGACGTATCCATACGCAGGTTAATCCATATATATTATATTTTAATTGTGTTCATATTCACATTTGTTTCAGTGGCATAATTATAATGTAATCTGTGCCCGTTAATTCAAATGTTAATTATTCATTTATGATTGTAGTTAATCGGAATTTTTTGCTCGTTTTCAGTTCTTTCGTCTGTCTGACTGAAATTGTTGGTGATTGATGTATTAGATTTGCTGTTGTTCCGCTAGACATCTATATGATGACATTGATTTATTGTTCGTATTGAATATTATTTAGGAGAGCCATGGAGTTGTGTTTCGCATTGATCAACAAAACCAATATAACAAATATGACTAAAGAAATTCTTATCTTCTTGGAGACTGCCGATCCCGAGTTCAAGGCGGAATGCGCATCCAAGATGTACGTTGCCACTGAGAAATTCTCGCCCAATTACGTTTGGCATCTGGACACAATGATCAAAGTTTTGAAATTGGTTTGTTCTTTCTGAATATTTTTATTCGGATATGTCGATGTAAATACAACTGAATGTGAACGAATGGATTATTATGTGTTAATTTATTGAATGACTACTGATTTGAATGAAGGATTGATGATATTGTTCGGTTTAAGGCGGGTAATCACGTGCCTGATGAAGTGGTGTCGTGTATGATTCAGCTTATCTCATCACATGCTGAATTACAACAGTACGCTGCAGTACAGCTGTATCGAGCTGCACAAGCTGATGTCATGAATGCACAGCCTCTTTTGCAGGTCTGTTTTGTTTTTGGTGCGTTGTAATAACTTCGTTGAGTGCAAATTAACTTGGGCGGTTAAGTAAGGATCGTTTGTAAAGTATCTAGTTGTTCAAGTTACCATTAATTACATTGCTAATTGTTCATTTATCTTCTCTATGAATCAGTAATTATTTGTATGATTTGCTGTCATTATCGATTCATTTCAGGTTGCTTTTTGGACGATCGGAGAATTTGGCGACTTCTTATTGCAAACAAATGAAGATGACGCGGTTAGAGTGCGTTTTGTTTATATTCATTGCGATTAATTGTATTTCATTTCGTTCGAGATGAGAAACAGGTGAAAAGCGTGTTGTCGTTATCGAACATTACTCTTGAAAGATGTTGACTGCAGCAAAATGAAGATATTATTTACGTGAACGTTAAGGTTGACGAAGGTGACGTTGTTGAAATATTCGAACGCATTCTACCGAGCACGTTGACAAGCACAATCACAAAGTCGTATGCGATGACTGCACTCGCAAAATTGGACACCAGATTTACTTCTACAAACGAGTTTGTTCTTTCATTTATTCAGTCGACTTTTGGCTTTATAAGACTTTAACTTATTCGTGCAATTGATACCATTGCTATTATCACTGATACTAATTGTTCATAATTTAGACGTATTCGACATCTGATCGCAACGAATACGACACATTTAAATTTGGAATTGCAGCAGCGATCTGTGGAATTCGCTCGTCTTCTCGGTTATAACGAACTCAAGTTGGATCTTTTATATATTTAATTATCGTTTCATCAGTGAAGTGTTGAACAGTGAAATTTGAATGAACGTTCTGTCGATTGCATTCTAGAGTTGTTGCACAATGAAGTTGTTGCATTCAAATGCTGTTCTTAGGTACGGTCTCTTGGAACGTATGCCAATAATAGCGCACAATTCGTTGAACGCTGCTGCACAACCCATTGAATCAGACACGGTCACGTCGTCTGGTACTGACGTTAACAGTACAGCTGAGAATGAAAACGCTGAACCGTTGGTCTTATACGATTTTGCTGCGTCAAATACATCCGATCAATTTGCATCGGTAATATGTGATTGTTATGTGGATTGTTAAAGCAGTTAGCATGCTCTTATTATGCTGATGAAATAGTGTTCATTAAAATGTTTTGAATGAAGTGTCAATTTGAAAAAGGTGGGCAGTGATTGGCATCGTTTAGATAGTGATATTTCAATGAAACAGTATCATTTCAGCCAGCTAAAGACGCGTTCCATTCGTTGGATGTAGCGGAGACGAGTAACACACAGAACACATCTTCTATTGCTGCAACAACTATTGGTGATCTTCTTGGCTCTGGTAACTGAACAAACTCATTTTGGGTTTGACTGATCTATAAATTCGATTACTGACGCCTCGTCTTCCCCCCTCCCCCCCCCGCCCCGCTCCTCCCCTCTNCCCCCCCCCCCCCCCCCCCCCCCCCCCCTCTGCTCACTCTCAGGAAAAAATCCTGGCTACGCTATTATCTCCATATACAACTGGAGCAGTTTGATGCATTATGCATTGGTGATGCTCATTTTAGGCCTTAACCTGGAAGGTATCACCGGTAACGATTCGAATAAAAGGGCACCGGATGCTAATGAAACAAATGCCAATTCGATCACATCGGATCCGTTCGATATCTTTGCATCGTTGTATGTGAAGTTTGTTTGATTTCGTAATTTTTGTCAGGTTGCCTTTTTCGTTACAGCTGTGATCATGTTCGTTTTTTGGAATTTCGCAATCATTCCACGAGTTGATCTAATATACTTTCACATAATTCGCCGTGAAATTGAATGCATACAATCGATCTCATCCTAATGTCCAATAAAATTTTTCCATGAATTAAAACCGAAAAATTCAAAAGTTTAAGATTTTTCGAACATCTGGCCAATTAGATTAAGTTAGCTAAGTATCGATCGGGAATTTCTTGAGAAAGATCATTTTATTCGTCGATACGAACACTTTTTATTGGCAGAGATTCAAAGCCACAGTCGAAACCAACGCAGCCGTCAACAGTGGCAATCAATTCGAAAGGTATCGAAGGTATTCTCTACGTTGAGAGCGATTTCTCGGACAATAAACCAGCTGTTCTTCGACTGGTTGCAACCAACAATAATCCTGCCAACGTTGAAAATTTCAATTTTCAAGTGGCTGTCACTAAAGTGAATACTTCATCTTCTTTTTGAAATTTTTTTCTCCCAATCAGGAAGTTGGTTGCTAACCCATAGTTATTCTTCTCCTTATCAAGGTGAGAGTCGGCTCAAAACGTATCACAAATTGGAATACGATAAATTTGATTAAATTCATCACGGTCCACTGTGTTACATGTCGCAAAATTTTCAAAATACACTGTGCCAACTGACCTTTCGACGATAATACAGCAAAAATCATGTCTATCGAATTAAAATTCCAAATTATAATTGAATAACGCTCTGTTAGCAACATCAACAAACCTCTCAAATACGTATGTACCTTAGAATTGCCAGTTGCTTTGGATTGCAAAAACTACTGAGTTTTTCTGTTCGTTTTTTAGGCTTATCAGATTGAGCTGATGCCCCCTTCAAGTGCAACGATATCTGGTAATGGGCAAGGTTCAGTAAGTCAATTGATGAACATCAAAAGGAATGCCGCATCACAGCCGGTATACAATTGAATTCTTTTTTATTTCTGTTTCAAATTCGTTCCTCTAATTATTTTTTCCACTTTGTTTCTGATTTTCCATTGTTAACGCTGAACACAGTAAAAATCGTGACTTGATTTTCTACATTTTTTTCAGTAACCACCTCTCATCTCTGTGCGAAATTTCAACTTCTGTTGAAAAAATCTCAATCGAACACTAGGAGTTCTTTCTTTTGTTTTTTTTTGATAATCCGAAAACATTACGTTGGAATATAGTCGTTATTTATCCTATGTTTATAAAAAGTTATGAATCGAATTGTAGTTTTTGATTCAGGCAGTTTTTGTTAAGTTGTGGTAATATGCTCAATAGTGCAACCGTTTTATTTGTTCGAATTGCAGTTGAAAATGCGAATCAAAACGTATTATACAATCAATGGTCAACAGCAGCTCATCGAAGCAATGGTGCCTAAGATTGCGGGCCTCAGTTGAGTGATTAAGAAACATAAATGATATTGAATTGTGTGTTTGATTGATTGAATGGGTTGGATGAATGCATAACATGCATTAGTGTGCGCATCGTTTGTTTGTTTTTCTTTTCTACCTTATTCCCAGATGCTCATTGTAGCATTTTGTTATCCAGTTTCTTCGTTATGCTTCTCGAGAACTTGTTGAATTCGGTTTCGATTTGCTGAAGTATTCGTTTGTCGCCAATTTCACTGAAACGCGTGCGTTTTGTAATGGCAAATTTTGATTATGTTCGAGTCATTGTTCTGTTCCAGTTTACAAAACGACTCAACAAATTCGATCATAAAAAAAAGATCACACTAATTGCCTAGTCACCTCAGTGCTTTATCCATTTGTTGAGCAGAAAAGCTGAGGTTTGATTTCGGGTGCGAATAGGAGAGCAAAAGGGTCAAAATAGGTGTCTGGGAATTGTTCTTTACACGATCGAATCGTATTTTGATTTTTTAAAGTGTTTCTATCAGTATTCATTTGTTCGTATCAGCAGCATTCAACGTTCCCATTTACATCAAATCATTTTTCTATCCCACTTCTACCAATTTTTTGTAGATTAATACCAGTCATTTGTGGAATTATTCATCATTCAAGTTGATTCTGTTGCGAATCATGGAATGATTATCAGTGATCTCTTTTGAGAAATTTCTAACTCTGAAAAAATTTATTCAGTGATGAATGAAAGAATGAATGTTTTGAAAAATTTGCAAATTTGTGTAGTGTTCGCTGCTCAGGAACGACCATCTAGAAAAATGCATTTACAGTTTAGTGGTTTCTTACTGTTCTCGAGGTACTGCTTTTGTCACCTTTGTGGTTGTCGCCAAAGAATTTCCATCCTTGTTTCAATGAGTAATTCAAATTGCGGTGCAGTTCGTTCCCAATTTTGAAACTACTTCCATTTGTTTTTCGTGAAGCGTACTCATTTACTTTGCATATCTGTCGACTAGGTTAAGAAAAATGTCATTGTTGACCAAAATCGATAGCTTTTCATTCCGTCGAAGACGCTGTCGAGTGACAGCCTTTGCAGCCTCTGTCTTGTTTTCCGTAAGAGTTTGAAACTTCCGAAATGATTGTTTGATTAAGCGAAAAAATTGCTTAACAACAAACTAGGTACGATATCATCTGTGATGAGCGAACCGTATCGGTTTCTCGATTAGAAAAATAAGTTGTATGAGTGACAACGTATGAATATTGAGCATTTGTATTGGAATGGAATTTATTGATGTTGATGAATCGAAAATATTTCAATCTGCAACATTCACTTGAATTGTGTAATAATATTTTATGCGACGTTTCTTGAATTGATTTATCTATTTATTCAATTGTGATGTGTGGTGTGGATTTATTCTTTTTAGTTGTTTGTTGATCGTTAATTAATGTGATTTGTGATATTTATCTCTCTCCATAAAATTGTTTCGAACGCCTTTTTTCATTAATCGACGTTTTCTGTCTCTTTTTTTTGTTGAGTTTACAGATTTTCTAGCATGAGAATGAAACACGCGAGTGTGCCTGGATGTATTATCAGACGATGCGCACTTGATGGTTTGGTGTTCATTTGTTAATTTATTCTATTAATTGTAATTGTGAAATGTGTCATCAAATCAATCCCAATTTTGTTGTTGGCTCATTGAAATGAACCGCACCATTCTTCAAAAACAATATACTGCCGGCATTCTTTGTGCTGGTTTGTAGCTTTTTCATTGTTTTGTTTTGTTGCTTTGTGTTTCTCTTATTTATTTATTTATTCACTGATTTATTGAATTACGTTCATTATTTGATAATGATTAAACAACGCTTTCGAAAGGTATTTAGAGTGTTTGTTGTTCAGTTTCATTTCATTTATCTCAATGCGAGCAATTACAAATTTCTTCATGTGAGACGTTTATTTCGATAACGAATCGCTATCATCTCATAAATCGCCTTCATTCTTCATAATTCAACTAAACCGTCCGTCACGCAACTTTCTTTGCATGATTTTTGAATTTTTTTTCCTTCTAGAACTTCAATTTTTGTTTCAAAAAAAGCTTTTCTTTGCTTTTTATAGCTATTGAAGATTGAATATTTGAAAGAATTATTCAAATGTTTGATTGGTGATTCCTTGAATTGTTATGATACTCTCTACTTTGTCGTTCATTATTGCGTGTGCACATCGACTGTTGCTCTGCTCGATCACTCATCTTTCATATCTTCTTCAACGAGTGAGCATTCGGATGTTTTTTCATCGATATTTGTTTTTATTTCACGTTTTCAGAGGTTTTTTTAGAGGTAGATCGCTGAAAATGGAAACAGATTTTTTAAGCTTCAGATGATTATTGAGATATTTTGGTTTTTTTTGATATTACTTTATCACATAAATAATAGTTTCTTTTTTTGAGTATGTTGACTTGATCGATGATTGGTGTTCCTTAATAGTTTTAAAGATTTAAATTCAGTTTTTTTAGAGGTTCGTTTGTTGTTTGAATTTTTTGAATGATTGAACTCTTTTTCGTTAACTTAGTGAACGAATGATAGTATTAAGTGCTTTCATAGTTTGCACTCAACGAGACTGTTTATTGCTGCTGTACGTGTGATTTGTTTTGCTAATGGATAAAATAAATGTGATGTGCCAAACGGATCAGTTTTTTGTTTGTTTCCAATGAAACAATTTAATGGTTGTGTTGTTACTTACGACTAGTGTTGTGTAATTGTTCTGTAGTCAAGAAAAGTAAAGATAACTAAATGAACGTGATGGTGAATTAACTGCATTGAAATATGAAACGAGATTATTCACGTAAATTGTTTGTTTGATTATTATTATTTGTGTATCGATGATTCTTAATTGGTTTACTTCTGTATTCTTTGCATTCCTTCGTTGTTTTCGTAATCACTTTCGTTTTCGATCGGATTTGATTTTGAATCGTTTCCTTTTGACATTTCTGTTTGTTTGTCTTCAAGAAGAGAGATTTGGATGTCATTTTAAGATGCCTTTATTGTTGTTGTGTGTATAAAATTGCTCTCTGTGGGTACAGAATCATTTCGTTTGCACCATACCATCCATACAGTATTATTTTCATTCGTTGTTACTGTGCAAATCAGAAAATTGCACGGCACGGCACAAGTGTAGGTCAAAAAATTCTAGTATATGTAAATTTTTTTTCTATTCTTCAGATTTCTTCTCTATTCAGAATTCTTTTTTCATAGTCAATCCAATTCATATCTGACCAGAATTTCGATGTGTCATGACTCACTTTGCGAGGAGGCTTTTCAGACCAGTGTCATGATGCGTTTTGTCGGTATATGATCATTTTCACCACTGTTATCGCAATCAGCAATACTTCGATACTGATTTTGAACATGTAAACTTTTGGTTTTGATTGGATTTGTTAGAATATTGTGTGAAGAAAGTCATATAAGTTTGATTTAAAAGAGCACTTTGGTGACTTATTGTCGTGTTGTGACTTTAAAAGGGCACTTTTATGTATTGTCACCTTGTTGTTACGGTATTTTGATGATTATTGCTGCTTTCAATTGTTTTCTTTGTTTCAGAGTTGAGTGTGAATATCGTTCGCTCGAATTCCTTTTATTGTTCTTGTTTGACTGTCTCAATAAATGTTCTCGAACGAGCATTGTTGTGGTTGTATTCCATTAAAAAATTGCCTTTCATTGGCCAGTGCTTTATTTCACTTATCAGCATTTTTTGTTCTTTTATTCATTGACATTCTTTATTGGCTCTAGAAAAATTTCTTACGAATTTAAGCGAAGATTCCAGAGAATATTGCAATTGGCAAAATTCTTTTTTTTGGTTTATGCAGGATGCGGGATGTGGTCGTGCAATTTTCATGTTTGGTTTGCGGTCAATTAATTTGAATATGAAAATACTTCAAGCGGATGAGTGCTTTAATTCACAGCTTATTGATATGCAATAAGAATGCACTTTTAACGTATGTACAACATGTTTTCATATCGATTATTCACTTTTTAAAATTTGATTCACTGCACTTCGTCGATCATCATTTTAAATTCATTTTTGTTTCACATGCAAGTCAATCAGGTTTTCGTTTGTTCTTTTCTTTCTTATAAATCATCGTCATCATCATCCTTGCTCTATCTATATGTTTGTTTTGGTCTCTTTTTAGCTGCCGTCATCCAGGGATTGAAGGAGTTCAATAGTTCTCAAACGATTTTAGCAGCGTTATAAAAAAACAGGAACATGTTAGCTATAAGCACGCTGGGATCCTGCGAAAATCATCCAAACACAACTTAATTTAATCTGTTTGAGTGAAGCTTAGGTTTTGTTATGCATAAGCATACGCTAAGGCTCATATTTCGGTTTAGAGTCACATTCAAGTCGAGAGTGAGCCAAATTGACTCGGCTGATTTGTATTTCCCTAGTTGCCTCTCACCTTCATGAATTGTTCCCTGGTTACCTCTCACCTTCATGAATTGTTCCCTGGTTACTTCTCACCTTCATGAATTGTTCACTGGTTACCTCTCACCTTCATGAATTGTCATAAATACATATTTTGAACTTGAAATTGCACTGAAGCGGTCGATGATCTGGTTTGCGCTCAAAAGTTTATCGGTGAGCAGTTTAGCGGCACTGTAATGCAGAACGTAGTCTTGATAAAATTAAGCATTTTACATCAAAGCACCTTTTCCTGTCACCCATTTGGAAAGCGTCGTTTCCGTATTTATCATCTTAATCACCATTTCCGATTTGTATGAAGGGATAATGCACTAAAAACTGAATCATTAAATTCTTCACTGAAATCTGTATTGAATAATGACGACGTAGAAATGTATGTGTTCATGCGTTTTTTGTCATTAAATTTGATCAGTTCTGATTCACAGAAGATTCATAGATCATCACTTTTTTTTGAGAAGGTGAGACAAAATGAGATGTCGTGTGATATTTCCATAGGGAAATATCGACTGAGCAGTTTTTTGCATTTTAGATTAATTCGATAGAGATTCACGTTGTAAAAGCTTGATGTCAAAATGTCAACAAGCCAAGGTGATGGAATTGTTTCAAAGATGTCCTTATATTACTTGACTATTGTGTCGATGTTCCCGTCTCCATTGGCGCTCACAGAGATTTGATAATCTGCTGCAGTCGTCCCTGTAAGACATCTGACACAGTTATGTCACATTACATCAATAGGTCTTCATTGCAACAACATTTACATCTTACTACATGCACTATAGAGATGTCCTTTGCACTATTCAAGCCCAGGTTGCCAACTCTTTAAGCCGCAGGCCCAGTGAATTTATTGCCGTTGAGCATCTCCGGTAACCTTCTCGTAATTTTTCCTTGTGATGAAAGATGATATGTCAACAGTCATAGCGGAATAACGCTTACAACTCACGTTTCACGTAATAACGCTCACGTTTCTTCTTCCATCTGATCTTCTAATGCGATTTGCATCAAATTGTTCGTTTCTGCAATTGTAAACGTCTTGGAGGAACGTATGGTGATGAGCAATTAGAAATGACAACAAACGGTGATGTTTCTTCGAATGATCAAATGACGTATGGTTGGTGTGCTCGTGGTGATCGTTTGCCACAAGAAAATCGAGTTCCCTTCAATAGGCCAACAATTCGACAAATTTACGATTCGCTTCCATTTGTACGACGTTATTTTATCTATTGGTTAAAGCATGTCGGCAAGAAAGAAAAACTTTTCATCAATACGTTTCAACCGTTGCGACATAAACCGCATTATGGTCAGTGAATCAATGCTCGTTTTGTGTGTGTATTCTGGATGAGTTGAATGAATGTAGTTGAAAATGTTGTTATTCAATCCTTTGTTGATAGATTTACCGTTGTGTGATAATCATCCTGAATAAGTATGCTATAATGACTGAGTAACAATAGGATTAAGATAATCACGTCGTGGTTATACATAAAATGTTTCGTTCCGAATGGATATATTTTGTAGTGATTGCTTAACATAGCAGATTTCTTCTTTTCTTTGGTATTGTGCTGAATACGATTGCCGAAGATGTTAGCTTGAAAGGTAATCTGTTGAGGTGTTCCTTGTGGTGGGATTGGATCTGGTTCAATAGGTCGTGATTTTCGTGGAGGATTCTGTAAATTTGGTTTGCGGCCAGGGCTTATCGAGCATAAAGTGGATGTTGTTAGAGCTGATCAGGTTAACTTGTTTTGGACGGATTATAGATGAATTCCACATAAGTTTGGAGTATTTTCAGTGTGCCAGCTAACACTGAATCAAAGCAGCTTTTCAGATTCGTTAGATTTTCTGTTTATAGTTTATTGTGACAATACGCCAGCAGAAAAGTGATGAGCATTTCGAGAGTGTATATCAGAAAGTGTTATGTGCGGCTCCAACAACGTCAACCGCAAGCACGGAACTCAGTTCATGGGATTTTTCCTTCCCTCGTGATTGTCTTACATACAGGTGTGTGTCTTGCAAAAATGCTATTCTACCATACCTTCTCGTAAAATTCTAAAAACTCAGCAACGATGAGCGTCTAATCAATGAATTTAAGAGGTTTATATCCGCGATCATGGACACGTTATGAAATCCCTGAATGTGGGGTTTCTATCATCATGAGGCAAATTTCTCCAGTAATTCCGGGCGATTATCATGTACGTTACTCTATTTACGTTCAATGATTTTGAGCAAATTTTAGTCGATGTTTTAGCGATGAAATCGCTAGGAAAGCTGATAGAAATATGTGAATATGAATGCAAGACGTGAAGAAGTGTGTGCTTGAATAATATAAATTTTATAGGACAGTTCATTACCAGTGAGTGTGTTTGTGTTTGATGTTGAAAACAATTCGAATAAAGGACTTTATGTAAGTATTACGTTGACATTTCGAAATGGTACTGGTTATCATAAATGGTCTCAAGAAGGAAGTTGTACATCAGTTCTATTCGACAATCATTTGAAAGATGCTAAAGGTATTGTGGCAGTCATATCTAGATACGTTTAGAATCAGGTTTAATAGGCATTTTATCGATTGGCCTGTGTGACATGAGAAACCTGAAAAAATGTATGTTGTTTTAGTGAAAGGTGTCTGTTTGGATCATACAATCAGTCACATGCGATGTACATATGCCTTAGCGGTGAAATGTAATGAACACAATTCCATATCAAGGTGCTCATCGTTTAATCCATCTAAATCCGGTGACGTTGTTTGGAGATCTCTTTGGAGTACGGGTCATTTGAGTACTGAAGGTTGTTTTGATTTTGTTTCTGTTGTATCATGACTATTTTATTTGGGACGGTACAGTTAATGGCCAAGTCAGCACTAGTCAGCCTTTCAGTGGAAACCAAGGTTGAAAACTAGTCAGTCTTTCAGAAGTGGAAACCAAGGTAAGCAAGCAACAAATGTTATATTACTGAAGTTGAGGTCCAAATGTTTTGATTCGAATGGCATCAAAGCGAAAGTGGGACGTTATCGAGAAGTTGAAGGATGTGCATATAATTGGATTGTTTAAAATATAGTCATTCGTGGTATTTAAAGGTGATATTGTTACATCAACTACAAAAGAACTCGCAGTAGCGATATGCTGTCAGAGTTATGTAAAGCCGAAATCCTTGTTCAAATCATGTATGGAGTTCACTCTCGTTTGGGATATGCCTATCGTGCAGTTTGGTGCTCGAAATCGTAACTATCGCAGGTGAGTAGATGGAAGTTTGTGTGAATGTTCGATTAATTCAATGACAACTGTTCTAGAAGATATACGCGATTCTTTGGTGATTGCGGTGATGCAGCACCCGCAATATGTACGTATGCGTTAAACAAATATCCGTATTGGGAACGTTCCATTGAAAATTGGCAGAATCCAATTCTCGATCACCCGTTTGTTCTCTTCATTCTTGTATATTTTACTTCTTTTCTGATGTTATTGCCTGTGTTTACATTGGATTTGGAGATGAAAGAGACATTTTTCGACGTTTTAACACCGCATTTCGGATGTTCCTAAAAATCCGACAATATATCACTAAAAAGGATTACGTCTGGATATGCGGAGGACACTATAATGTGCAAAATCCTTTCCATTCAGAACTTAGCCCACATTCGCTTTATATTTTAGACTGAGTAGTATTTTTATATCCTTTTGCTTCATATCACTAATTTTAACAGACGACTGACTCATAATTGCAACTCTGAGCGTTATTGTAGTGGTCAGCAGTGACATCAGTTACAACTGTTCTTGCGATTGATTTCATTGTTTTAATGTGTGTTGAAATAGGTTTGTTCTAAATGCAAGCAGGTTATCGTAAAGCAGATAGATATCCGTATGAAATTGATTTTCAGGAATTTACCCGATTGGTACAAGTCAGCGTTATTCAATGAGCTTTATTATATGACTGATGGTGGTTCGATATGGTTCGAATTTGATGAAGACTGGATTGTTGATGAACAACATTTATCATCTTATAGTATCGCGCTGATGAAGGAATTCGGTCGTTTCGGATATTTAGAATGTAATTCATTTGAGTGCATTGCAGTTACAACTAAACAGAATTGATTTTCGTTGTTCAAAATGCGTTGAATCAATGAAACGTTTATCTGTCATCGAACACTTCAATGTTGCAACTTCATCAATGTTAATAAATGATTGAAATCGTTGAATTTAAGCATGGGAATATCGAATGGTCAATACATACGATGTACATTTTTATGCATCGTTTGCTCTCGCACAACTTTGGCCAAGTCTTGAACATGTTTTGCAAGCTGAATTTAGTACGTTCATACATTCGTTATTGGTTGTGATTGCACCTATACTATCAACCAAACCAAATGCCACTCTTTCAGCCGATCAAATCGAGCACTTTGATGGAAAGAGTGTAATATATCATATGGAGGGTGATCGTGCACCAAAAAAGTCACGTTCTCGTGTACCACACGATCTCGGTAATCCGGGTTAGTTTTCCACGCTTCTTTTTTCAAGGAACTCTGTAACAAATTATTCCATCACAAGCGGGTATATTGGAAATTACATCACAAGTTCTTTACATGAATAATTTAAATGGCATCTATTGAAATAAATAACTGTCTTTAATATGTCGTGTCGAACTAAATGCAGAGTTGGCAGATTCATTGATGACTGCAATCATCAGCCGACGAAAAAATCCAAATGAAGAAGCAATTAGTGAAGCATAGATGGGTTTTAACTCAATCAAAAAAGCAACTCTAAAAGACAGTTTCATTTTCAGCTGTTGATCCGTGGTTGTTAACGAATGCCTACGTAATGCATGATACAGGAAAGTGGAAAGATCTCAATCTGAAGTTTATTTTGATCAGTTTACGGGACTACCTATGTGTCCTTAATAAGGATCACAGGTGATTAGTTGAAATGTTGCGATTCAAAGAGTATGATCTCGTGTCATTTAGAATCGATTATGTGTGCACATAAATGTAATATTCGAATGTTTTTGGGTATTATTCAGTTTCTTAAAACTGGTATGGCCGGCGGTCAAAAATCTGATCAATGAGGGTCTTGAACGATGGGATTTAGACGGTGATGGTATGATTGAGAATTTTGGTGCTGCTGATCAAACGTATGATGCGTGGAAAATGGATGGAGTTAGGTGAGTACAGCGAATGTTTATTCGTATTTGACAAATAAATTCAGAGTGAAATGAATGATGTAATTGTAGTGCGTATTGCGGTTGTTTATGGTTAGCATCTTTGTTGGCTGCATCTGTGATGGCTGATGAGATTGGAGATAAACAGTGCGCGAAACGTTTTGCCGAAACTTTGAAGCGTGCTCGTGAGGCTTATATAAAGAAATTATGGAATGGAGAATACTATAACTTCGATGAGCATTCACGTAGTAAACGAACTATCATGGCCGATCAGTTGTGTGGCTATTGGTTTTTGCATTCTATATCACCGCAACTTGCCAATCAGGTTCTTCTTTCCAATAGTCTTATCTGTCACTAAATTTGGAACAGTCATAAAACAGTTTTAAAGCAATCTGTTTTTAGAGTGATCACAGATTAATAGAGGAAAAGTTATACGAAAAATGATTTCAATTTATGTTTGAGATACGATACGTTAGCAGAAATTAAAGCTGTGATGTTGATTGTATGTTACGGACACTGAATGCGGTTACAACTGAGGTACTTTCAGCTTAATGTCTGTATTACTTTGTAGTTATTACCAATAACGCACGTTCGATCCGTACTGAACACCATCTATAATTACAATGTATTGCGCTTTGCTGGTGGTCGTTTGGGCGCAGTTAATGGTATGCGAAGAGATGGAACGGTTGATCATAATTATATTCAGGCTGATGAAATGTGGACCGGAGTGACGTATGCTCTTGCTGCATTTTTTATTCAACAGGTTCATTATTTGGGTTGATTTGATAATAATTAGTAAATACTTCATTAATGGTATACTTTTTTTGGATTGTAAGTATAAAATGATCGATTTTAGGGCGCTTTACAACGTGGATTTGATACGGCGTGGGGTTGTTACGATGGTTGTTTCAATCGTTTTGGCTTACAATATCAGACACCTGAAGCACTTTATGAAGAGCGATTCTATCGCGCGATTGGTTACATGCGTCCATTGAGCATTTGGGCAATGCAATGGGCGTTAACACGGCATTGTGGAATATTCGATTCGAATTGTTTAGCACTGGAAGGCATTCGAACATCATCACCAACTAATTTTACACCGGATAGGTTATGGGATGGGAATGATATTGGGGAACGAGAAGATGAGGACGATTATGATTGTTACACAGCCACCAATGATTCTGACTAGACGATGTCCTCATGAAGGACGCCCCTGTGTTAGCATCGAATTGCTTGTTTATTTCATTTTCATTCATCGTCGCCAACTTCATCGTATCGTGTCCATTTAGTGTCTGCAATAAGAAACACCTTTTTCATCACTACGACATGACTATTGCTGTTCATATCTATGATATTGAATGCACATCTCAGTACGTTCGTTCTTTGGGTATTAGCCGAGCCATTATCTGTATTCAGTTGCCTGAAATTACGGTTGCGATCGCGTGTTTCAATTTAAAAGTTGGTGAGAGAAAATTTCGGACAATTTTTGTGAAGAAAAGATCGTAGAGTTTTTTTTTTTCAAATCAGGACTATCGATTGTCGACCAAGAAAAGCAAAATGCTTCAGTATTTGTTCAGTTCATACTATCTGGGCGATCCACATGTGAAAGTTGTACTCATCTCTAACTGTGCAACACTCAAATTAGCAAAACATCCTGTTCGATGTAATAATAATAATAATGTGTGTTTTGTTTCGTTGCCTATTTTAAGAAAACGATCGTTTAGTTCATATCCGTATCGCATAAGATAAATTGATACTTTCAACTCGTTCAGTAGATTAAGCTTACATTTAAACTGCTTTTGATAAAAGAATGAGTTGGCATCTTCATTAATTTATTGCATAATAATTTATCAACATACTAATGCAATTTACTTTTCTTTTGTAAAATTTGTAAGTTGATCTTGTGTGATCTGATGATTGTTGTTCATTCAATTGTTACTTTTTCATACAATGCCATTCAATTGTTACTTTTTCATGCAATGCCAATTTTCATGCAACCACCGTTGGGATCTATGATCGCTTAGTTTCACTGAAATTTGTACGTGGAATTACAAAAACTTCATCTTTTAATGTTTACTTTTATTCATTTGCAGACTGATAATTGTTCTACTTGCAATTAGAATGTAAACAAAAAATTCTTTTCAGTTAGGAGCAGAATTATTTTTCAGCCAATATTTGTCATAGGAAACTTCCATGTTATTCACTTGGTAACAGTTTGAGCATGTTTTATTTATGGATTATTCAGGAGCCTATGAGATTCAACAGCGTTCTTGAATGTGGACAAAATAGTTGCAGTGAATAATTTTGTTCGTTGCATGCTCATCGAATCAGTTTGTTTGTGTTCGTTCGATTATGTTCACATTATATTACAAATTTCGTTAGTTCATCCATAGGCAATTTTGTTATTTTAATGATTATTGATATAATTATTTTAAACGAGTCTAGACGTATGTGTGGTCTTTCATGTTATTAAGTTAGGTACGGAATCACTTGCTATTACAATATTAATCTCATGTCTCAAGCAAGTGAACGTTGTGACTGACCATTTTAATGATGTTCGCTTCCGCCATTATTAGTAATAATATGATGATTATGTTTTCATCTCTACTCGTGCATCCAAGTGTGCGTGGGTGCGTTGATATCATTGCGGTCTGATAATATTTCTTTGACTGATCTGTCCTATCGTATTGTATTCCCGACTGGTCGCAGATACATTAAACTCAACCTTTTGTAGTATTACCGACTGGTAATAAATTAATCAGTTTTTATTCATGCATTCCAACACGATAAATATTCTTCCCTATTGCTATTATGAAAACCAATACAAATCACCCACACCAGTGTTTTCATATGAGTAACTTTTGAACAGGGTGTTGAATGTGCTCAACGCGAACTTAATGCAAATGTAATGTTCGTTTTTTAAAAGATATAAAGCTAACATTGACAATTCCGTGCTGAACGATATGTTCACTCATAACATTGATAAATTTAGTCAAGGTCCACATCCCTATGCAATCCTCCTTTTCAATTTTTTTTGCTCTATTTTATCGATTTTCACCTGACCTTTTCCACCGCTTCGATGTGTTATGTTTTCATCAGGGAAAGAACGGGAAGAACAAGACAAGTCAGTACTCATTTGAAGTATTGATCAGAGGAGTAAATCTCCATTAAGCGTTACGCATAATCAGTGCACGGAAACTCAGTATGCAGATGGAGGTGATTAGAATATCACAAAATGAGATATCATATTTTACTTCGTACGAAGATATATTATAAAGATTTTCTGCAATATCTAGAAAACTATAACCTGTATGGAAATTTCCAACGAGAAATACAGAAAACGCAATACAGAGAATAGCAAGGAAAAGTAGTGAGTTACGGTACGTGAAAATTAAGTTATAAATTTGGATAATTATAGGAATTTGTCTCATTTATTTACTACTCGAGATAATGCGTGTGGCTTTAAATACACGATTTCTAACTGTGCCATTGCCAAGTGTGAATATCACAGCGACAGCACTTGACGTTATATCAGGAATACGTTCATTAGTGAACCGACCGTTCAAAAAAAAAACAACTATAAAACCTTCTAGACACAACGATATTGAATAAAATCAAAATAAATTTTATAATCAATGGTATAAATTTCATTGTTGTGAATTGATACTTTTTTAGAAATTAATCGTTAGGAAACGTTTTTTAGGCGGTCATAAAGTTTCCATGAGTGTCCATAAGACTTTCAAGCCAACTAGAATTGCTCCTTACCGAAAAATTTAAAAAAAAAATTATTCATCAGAACATTGATAAATTCGAAATCTATTCAAACAATGAGTAAAATTACAATATTCGTAAGAGTTAACTAAGGATAGCGAAATTGAAGACAACAGTTGAGCAGATAAACGTGAACAAATGTTTAACGGTTGTTCACCACTGGATGCATTATGATTCAGAAGAGAGTGAAGTTGAACACTGATTATTGAAACATAATGTTCGTAAGTTTTCGAAAGTTCACGTGAAAACAAACAACAACTACGTTGCTTAGTTATAAAGTGTAAAATTATTTGCTAGCGAATTGAAGACTACATTGATGGATAATGAAAAATTATGAAGTGTCTTTGTCTTTATCGGAGAAACCCAACTTTGCCATATCTTCTTTAGTCATCAGATCGTTATCCATTCGACACTTTAAATATGCTTTTGCCAAATGACGACATTTATCATTCACATTCTGAAATGCAACCTTCTCTCTGTGAAAATGCTGTGAAATTTCATAAAGTGAATTTTCAATCTGAACTAATTTATTCAAGTTTCGAGCTCAATATAAGTTTCAAGTAAATGAGTTAGTAAATTAAATAAATGCCAAAATTCACGATAAGCTTAAACTTTAATCAATATTATGAATAGAACAAACCTTATTTTCATGCAAACATATCATATAATTGAGCATACTCAACTTGCATTCGCCTTCGTGATCTAACGGAAAAGACCCTTTAAGAGGTGGCGAGACGGTAGTCACTCTCGAAAACGGACCTGCCTGACCAGACATCTGAAAGTGATCAGTCGACCGTAGTACCGCTATTGACTACCGAAGAAACGTGCACTTACAACTGATCGATTAGATGTCTCTTTTAGCTTCTTTTTGGATTCTTATGTACTTCTCCCAGCTTTGCACAGGCATTGCAGGAGTGGGTCGCCAACGACGCCACTCTTCAAAAACGATGTATGACGCAAAACAGCCTGTAAATGTTGTATCGTCGCACACTACGATGAATCCAACTTGTTTCAGTGCTCAATAAAAACCATACGTGAGCAGTTTGAATTAGCATGTATTAGAATATTCTTTAAAATATGGTAGAAGTAAAAGTTGCGCATGATTATCTTCTTCTCTTCAAGGAACAACGAAACGAGACCAATTAATGCGACCAGTAATGTTGCTTGTTTTATGCTCGACTGTCGAACCATAAATGTCGAACAAACCACGATTTGATTCACTGAACGAATCTTTCAGCTTCAATCAGACTCAAGTAGACCGTCACGACTGTTGCACCAACGATTCAAATCACACCTTTTAAGTCGTGTACCACTCAGCTGTCCAAACGATACAAAATCTTCGGTCTATTGCAAAAATGTTTATTAATTCAATCGATTACACGAATCTCTACTCAGTCAGCTTTCAACTCATCAAATTACATATTCGCGAATACATACCAACCACACTGATATTAGCTGTTCAATGTATACTGTGTATAACTTTAAAGTAAAAGAACAAACCCGATAGTAAAGATTAATAATCGATGGTGTGTAACGATACAGAAATTGTCTCGATTGTTCGCTTCTTCTCAAATGACAAAAGCCCAAAAATGCACCACCAAACAATATCACTTCTGTGGCGATCAACCCAACGAGTCCTTTCTTTCCCAATAAAGCCAGCTACAAGCAAGAATAATCACTCTGATCACAAACCATACTAATCCCTTTTTTATGCCTCGCCTGATTGTCTGTCACAAAATGAAACACTCAATCAAAGTATATCGCCGTAATTTACTCGCACTTATCTGTTAGTCACACTGCATGTAACGAGTAAGCTTCTAACGATCCACCCTTTCAAAATGTACGAGTACATTTGCAAAAACGTTTCCCCTTCGCCGTCAAAACTCAACAGTCGTTTAAGATTTAAACATTTCAAAATTTGTCATTTGCAGTTGGCCACTGAAAACGATTGTTGATTAACATCGACCACTGATTATGATGAGTTTGAGGTAACTAAACTTACACGGGTGATAAATTTTGAAGTATTTATAGATCTGCTAACTGACATTCCCCGGTCATGCGCTTTTCGTAGTGGGTAATGAAGAATCGCCTGAACAAGATCAATATGTAGGTCTAATCCTAAGCCTAAATTACTGATGCAGAAGCATCGTTTCACGGTCGTCGATACGATAGCAGGACGCTTGTAAGGAAGAGAATAATTCAGCATTTCACTGCTCTCTTCTTCGTCAACCCCTCCTAGCCCAACTCACTTCTCCCTTTTCTGTCATCCCGTTGCATAACTTTCTCCTGTACGGCCAAAATAAATCTGAACAGTCTTCTCCACCAAGCACACAATCCCATTCAAATGTTTACAAGATCTTTGCACTGTTTTGAATTGCTTATGGCAAAATTTTTGGCCTTTCCGCTTCACGATTACACTGAAACGGATCAGCACATAAGCAGCACATTATGACTGCCTCACAAACATTTCAGCATCAACTTCAACAAGTATCATTTCAGATGAAATTTAACCAATTCGCTTCAAGTTTCGAGATATATAACCCGTTTGGAAGAAATTATTATCACTTTCACATACAACAACCTGACAAATAAAATTGAAGATACATTTGCACATCCAACTACCACATAATATGTACATCAAATGAACAAAATAAAACTTGAAAAGAACACCTAAAAAGAGAACGGAAGAAAATGTTGAACAGAAAAGAAGGTAGGTCATAAAATACAAGTGGCAGGTGATAACGGAATGAATACAAAAAACAATTCATTTGGATTAGACTGATCCGAACCGAATATATTGATAAGAATGAAATACTGTTTAAAACTCTTTGTATAGCAAAAACAAATGCAATCACTTCATCAGTTTGGCTTTATCGCGCCACAAACTGATTCTAAAATCATCACCATTCACACCCTGACAGCCGATACCGACGCTGTTTTACTGACCATTTGTTCTCTTTGCTCAACTAATTCGTTCAGTGCTAGAAGTCTCTGCAGAATTTTTTCGTTCACCAACGGTTCGATGTCCTGCAAATACATTTGTCAAAATATCTGAATGTAGCATAGATTTTTTTGCAAGTATTATTACTTTTTGAAATTAAGATTTAACGACTGGTAGAGGAGTTGGTTTTTGAATGAAGTTGAAATGATTTACACCGCAAAACAAAGATGAATAGGATGAGTGGAATGAAATTATACGAATAAACACTGTATGAAAGCATTGCATGAAAGACATACAATGCGATCCTGTGCCACAATGCTTGGATTATATCGGAAGTAGTAGTCTTTCCATGGTCGAATTCGAGGCATTTTCGTGTTCGGACGTAATACTTCAATGAATCGAGGGAAGCGATTGTATAAAGGATTGAGAAAACGACGACGATTCGCTTCTATATAGGACCACAGAGAAACTGTATTCTCTCTTACTCTCTACAGCAAACATTTTTATAATTATAATTGTATTTTTGTTCTATCACTTTCATAACACAGAAGTGAGAGCAATTTTTAGTTCACGAACTCACAATGAACATATAAAAACAATGACTGGAAAAATGAAAAGAATGTGCAGTTAGTAAACAATGATATAATTAGTAAGTGATGATAATGATGTAACCTGATCACGATGGCGCTGTTTTTCACTGTTGTAAAGAAACGTACCAAATCGACATGCGTACAACTCGTCCAGTATAACAATTAATAAGGATGCATTGAATTCAAACGCATATGGAAACTTAAATACAATATTTTGAAATTTAGTAATGAGTCACTATTGCAAATTTTCTTTTTCTGCTCATTTTTTGGACAGTAAGATAAACAATTCATGAATGAATGGATATCGATATTATCTACTGACAATAACAACAGATTAATACATCAAAAGTCCAACTCACCTGCTCCATCAACTGCCATACGCAATCGACGAATTGCACAAAAATTGGTGAGCGCTCACTGTCACTATGTTTATCTTCACCATGACCAATTCTCTTAAAAAAGTTTTCAAATGATTTTAGCAGATATTTCTTTCGATATTGCAAGTTAGACCAATCGTTCTCAGAGTATGCAATTCGTTATTTTAAATGATTTGATGAAAAAATATGAGATGAAACGGTATTCTAACTGTTTCATAGATTGCTATCGAGCTAATATATAAATACATACAATAGAGACAACCGCCTGAAACAGAAAAAAAACAACTAACATGAGCAAATTTATGGCCAAAACTACACCACTCCTTCTCGATAAGTACAGCAAAACCAGTGACTGTTCTATAGTATGGATCCAGTTCAACCATCGCAACTGACGTCAACTGTAAACTCAATTCCGTCCTGTTTATTGCCCAAACAAATAAATGAAAATTTAGGATTTAGCATTATTGTTGAGCAAGAAGCGCGAGATAAATCGTATGTATTGTAACACTACTGTAAATATTTTCAATGCACTTCACTTTCAACAGTACTGACTGAAGAAGAGCAATGAGTCTGAAGATGAATCAATTTAGCGCAATAACAACAGTGTCTTCGACTATTCATGCAATTAATTCAACTCAGTTCAACGAACAACTCACTTGAGCCGTACGATCCCAACCGTCACTACAGTGCACAAGTACCGATGCATTATTGTCTTCAATCTCTCTCGCAATTTGTGTGGCACCATCAAGAATGGTCTGCAAATTGCAACAATCCTTATACAAATTTATTTTTGTCCAAAAATTCAGTTCGAAACTTGTTCAGTAATAGTCTCGGAAGAACCTGTATATGACTCAGCCATTTCGTTTCATCAAGAATACGTAACCAATTCTTTTCATCAACCTTCGGGAAGCACGCATCTTTTAGTTTGCGTAAGCTGAAAACGATAAATGCATTTTGATACTGAGCTCAATGTGACGATTGTAACCACTCGACAAATTCGATATTATGAGATTTCAAATGATAACTTTGTATCTTTGAAGTACTTCGAAGTAATATCCAGTAATAATTCAGTCAAATAAAAAAAAATAACAATCAAGCATTCATCGAGATTTTTTTGTTTCGTTAGAAGGAAAAAAAAACGAATAACGAAAACTGAGGAGAAAACGAATCAGTTCATACGGGCACACAAATGAATAAATGACGTACGATTCACGAACAACATGTATGTTCTGAATATCCAGGAAAATAAGACGACAATTCGCGTATGAATCCTCAAAACCTCCACCCTTTGCCTATAACTATGGAGCAACATGAATGCATTACATTTTTGCATGAATAATTCAAATTGAATAGGTAATGAACTGAATATTACTGGCGAAAAATATAGATAAACTTAGAATTTGCGACATAATACCTTATTCACTTTGGCATTCACAACAGGACGAGCGTCAAAAATCAACAGCTGATGAGCGTGAGCATTCGCTTCAATTATCAATTGTAGATACCTAAAATTTTGACGCAACAATTGGTAATATATTAGGTGAACGAATACAATTGAACATACCTAATGAATCCATTAAATGAGCATTCATTACTGAAATGAACAAATATAAAAGTCAATTTCCTACTAATCAAAAATCAAAGTCAAATGAAACCTTTCATCTTCAGCTGATTTACGAGAAGTAACTCCAACCATAGGCTGAGATGAGCGAGTGATAGCTGCTTGTGTTAATGGATTCAACCATGATAGAACCTGCATTTTCCATTCATTCATTCGCGGAACAATAAAAAACGTAATTTTTAACAAAGCTCAAACTATAGACTACCTGATGAATGCTAACGATAACTGAAAGGCGTTCTGTAGGAACGTCTCGGATAGAAAGTTCAAGAACAACCGACTTAATAGGCAGAAATAGAAAAAAAAGAATAGCTATAAATAAATAATTTCGAATTGTTTCACTTTCAGATTGCATGAAATTGTTCATAAATATTCGGCAGTATTTTTTAGTTAATGATAACTGATTACTAAAAAAATAATAAAAATTTCAACAGGTACTACTGAATGATCTAAAACTAAAAATTAACGAACCGGAATGCGTTGCTTACTTCTGAATTCGGCAACCTTATGTAAAAAATCCTCACCCTCGGCGACAGCAGTTGTAGGTACAGCCAACTGAATCAGATAAAAATCAAAATAGAATTCTATAAGTTCTTACATGCGGGTTAGAGCCATTCAGTACACTGTTATCATGAATTCACTATTTGAATCTGACTCGTTTCATTTATGGCTAATCAAAAAGCACTGACCAATGCTGGATAAGTATCAGCAAATTCATAGCGATCGTTTATCTTCGTAATACGCCAACTCTCATTTGGAACCTTCTAAAAGACAAAAACAATTTTAGCTATTCCAAACAGAAAAACAATGACGTAAATGAGTGAACGATAAGTGAAGAATAACTGGAGAACTGAATGAACTATCACTAATTTTTGAAACGTTACGAAATTATTACTCACGATTTTCGCGGATTAAGCCAAATCTGAGGCCAATATTATAAAGGTGTACCAATGAGAATAATTTTATTCAATACGAAACGATGAATACAAGAATGACATTGCTTGAACGTGCTTCACATCGACTCAATTCGATCCAGTACAATCAAAACGAGCAAACAATAAACATGTTCAACTTGCCATGCGTTGGAACTCTTTAACCGCATCATATAGCACCCATCCATCAAATACAAACTGAGGTTTATAAAGCACTGCAAAAAACGGCTGAAAGAAAGCAGAAAAATTATTTGGTGCAGCAAAACTATCAAATTATTGAATAGTTAAATGAGACTACCTCATTGAATATCTTCAATGATAACAACTATTTTCGATAGATCATCGTTAAAGAAATTAGTGCGAATTTGGGAGGAGGATTCATTAAGGCAAACCAATTTGTTCGTGACGGGAAATGCGAACTTTTGAAGACTTTCGTAGAGCGGACGACGACTGTGGTTGGTCTGCTGATGAGTGAAACGAATGTTTCGCATATCCTGACAAGAGATAATCATTCACTTATGAATTATTTTGAAAAAATATGAACACATTAAACAGTAAAGGATTCGCCTGATGCAGTTCATCGTAAGGCTTGCCCATTTGGATTACGCTTCCTCTTAGGTTTATGCTCGGGTAGATAAGGTGAAAATTCAGGCTGGTACATTTTATAGACTGCCATAGCACATTTCACAAAAAAACCGAAAATAATCGAACACATTAAGAAATGTGACAAAGACAACTAATTTAATTGATACAAGCAGAATGCACCTTGCCATAACCTTACCTTACAAGTTATTTCCAGCCCATAAGAATCCTCACCACGACTCACAGTTGAGTATCCGACTTTTTCGACTCGTGATATACAGCCAAGCGGAACATCGAATTGACAGCACTGAGAAACGAACTTTTAACGACAAATTTTTTAAAGGATCATCACTCAAAGCTCAAAATCAATCTTGTAATCAACACCGTGTAAGCGATATTTGTGGTAGACAAACAGAAAAGAAAAGAATAACCTCACTTTATTCTCTCTACCAGAATTTTCTTTAGCTTCGAATCGAAGTCGATAGTTCGTAACAATGACTCGACCACCGATTTTTCCGATTGCTGTCATACAACCGATATTAGATTCTGCAATAAATTAATCCACTTGTTTAAGGGGCTTGACACAGTTGACAGTTCGTAGAGGCTGCCGAATGAGATGATAGGTCTTTGTGCTGATAAGAATTCGCGTTCAATTAACCAAATCAAAATTTGCATGAAATTTTTACCTTCGATTTGAAAGCTTTCCCCAGGCAGCAGCCACGATCGCTCAGATGATTGTTTCGTTTTTAGCTGACTCGAACTGAGTGACGGACTTCGACGAGGTGACATACCCACTGCCTAAACGTCTTGTAATAGAGAACCCCTAATGATACAATATTAATTTCAGTAACGTTATGAACAAATGAATATATATTTCATTTGTTCACAACTTTGCTCAAATTAATTATTATTAATATTGAATGGTAACACAGTTTCAGTACCCACCGTAAGAACTGCGGATTGAAAATCAACATCATCAGATGAATCATCACCCGAACTCATATTGCCAGAAGAAATGTTTAGTCTCTGAAACGCATTCACTCAGTTAGGAACATTCAATTGTTTTCAAAATTCGATTTCTTCCAAATGATATCAGATTTCATCCAGAAAAAGTTAACGAACCATCATAATCACACGCAAAAAAAAGAAACTCATTCAGTGGATGCTACAGTCAAGAAATTTTTTTTAATATTTTCCAGCTAACTGCAACATACGGGGATAACGAAACAGATATGCGAGCATTCCAGTTCAAGGATAACAGGTGAATAACGACGCGTTTCATAAAAGAGGCGTAGGATCAATCTATTCATTATTTTAACTGCCCCAGGTACAATCAATAATGTGGTTTTATAAAACATTCCCCATCAAATCACACAACCCCGTCCATGCACTTATTGTTAGTGAACTTGCTCATTTAAATCTTACGCAAGGGGTGCGCTACTCGTAGAAGGCAGTGTGTGCATTCTTTGGAAAATCGCATGTTCGTTGAAATGTTATAGATTGATTGTTCGCAATGCAAATACCGTATTGAGAGATAGATACCTTCTTTGAATAACTCGAAGTCAAGTGATGAAAACCAAATTGAAAAATGATAATGGATTATGTTTAGGCTGAGGCTCACATCGGACTAAGATATGCACTGAAAAAACTGTCGATTCTGTCGCTATGAGGTTTTTATTAAGGGCTTAGGCATTGGCTTAGGCTGAGAGTTAGGTTCAGGCCAAAGCTTAGGCTCAGACTTAGGCTCATTATTAGGCTTGGGCTTAAAATGAAGTCCGGAGAGATCAGACTTTTTTTTGAACGGGATTAGGCTTTGGAGGAATTAGGCTTATAACAAGCGCAGGAAGCTAAATATAATCCATCCACCACATCACCATGTTTCTTGGGCTTAGAATTCTCATTTTGGCCTAGGCTTAGGTTCAGACTAAGGCTGAAGCTGAAGCTTAAGTTTAGGTTTAAACTCAGCCTTAGGCTAAGTTACGTTGCAATACCAATTGCCCTTTAACCTCTTTTTGTGTTAGAGTTAGTTATGAGTATACGGTAATGCGAGCATCCATAGCAACACTCTCTACCAAGTTTTGCACTTGAACGAACGCACGATTTGCGATTTTTCAAAGAATGGCCTCACAACCCTCGTTCAAGGAATTTCCTACAGCGGTATCCGGATTAACGCATTTCCTTGTAAAGCTATTTTTATTGAGTCTCGGGAGTTTTCAATTGCTCCATTTAAAGTTATTTTTGGAACGTTATATTGAGCCAGTTGGTGCAATTTACATCGGGTTCGCTCGGATCTATAAACTCTTTCTATGATTTCTGCAATTTTGCAGCGCCGTTTGAACACGGTGCGTATACAGTTGACCTGTTATCGCCGATTGTGTCACCTTAAAGTAGCTAAAGATGTATGGCGAAAACAGAAGTCGTGGATTGGTCAGCGTAGAATGATCTGAATTTTAAATAAAGTTAACGCTCTACGTTCATGTTCTGCTAACCACATCTTGTCGGAATAACAAGAGCCACTTCTGGTAGATTTATTAGAAGGAAATTTGAATGAGAAGAAACCCCTGTAATCATTTGAGTGAAATATGCAGTCGTATAGTCGAGTCCCAGTTTTACCAATGAAATGTCAAATACTCCTCATGAATAAGGAGAACAGTGAGTAGTGGATTTCATACTTAAGCCTCTTCCACTACTAAACATATAAATGCTTATGCTTGACCATGCCCAATCCTCTGTACTGATCAGTGCGTAAACGAATGCCAAAAAGAGCACTTACGACCAATCCAACCAATCAGGGAGAGCACTAAGCCTTTGGAAATTGAAGAAGATCTAAATCTAATTCGGATTTGGGATTCTTTGCTCCCCGTTTAATCGCATTCTTGTGTCATTGTTCGCAACAGCTACTAAAACGCTTCCCCCTCTAATATAAAAATAATCTTGTTCATGCTACTGATCTCGACGTCAAATAGTCCGTTGCCTAATTTTAACAGAGTTTCCTAAAGCGCACTGGTTTCAGGAACATAACCTCAGAATTGAAAGGAGTGTGCTGTAATCTGAACGATGGAGGCTTTGAAGGGATTAAAATTACGCGATTTATACAGAATCGTGAACCAACCCAATGAGGAGTTCGATGCGTTTCTGCAGAATTTAGGGCTATTACCGCGGGGCAAAACTTGTGAATGCGGGTATAACATGTCTCTAGGTTTCAAAGATAAGAACAAAAGATCACCTATTTTTAGATGTTTCAAGGCGGGTTGCAGAAAGAACAAAGGTTTCTTTGTGGGCACTTTTTTTGAACAGTCCCGACTAACGACGAAAGAAGTTTTTGAGCTATCCTATTTCTGGACGCGTAACAACTACACTCAGGAGGAAATTGCTTTCCAAATGGAGAGGGAAGACGGTACTAGCCTTTCCACTCAGACCATCACGGATTGGAACAATTCTTTTCGAGATATTGCAGTCGAATATTGTGTAAACCACCCCGCTAAATTAGGCGGGACGGATCGGACCGTTGAAATTGATGAGACGATAATTGCGAAAAGAAGATATGGCAGAGGACGGGACGTTAGAGAGCAGTTGATTTTTTTTGGTGTGGATGTGGAAAGTGGAGATTGCTTCCTGGTTCGTGTGTCCGATAGATCTGCGGCTACACTTCTGCCGATAATTCAAGAACACATACTTCCGGGTACTACTGTGGTCTCTGACGATTGGGCCACATACAGGCAGCTGCAGTCTGTACAGTCTCCGAATTCAATGTTTAACTTCGTAAACCCGGAGACTTATGCATGTATGAATCGTAATGAGTCGTTATGGCATAAGTTCAAGAGTTCTCATAAAAGTCGATATGGTACACATCGCAGCTTACTGTCCGCGTACGTCGAGGAATATGTGTGGAGAAAGCGCTTTCGTGGTCCTGATGCTTTCTACGAGCTTTGGAATCAGATAAAGACACTATACCCATGCTAACAATTTTATTCGGTTTGAATTTTCCAATGTGCTTTTTTTTGTAAATTTTTATTCCATTCTACAAAGGCTCACCGCCGCGTTTCTGTTGCATTTCCTCTCACCTTGAAGGCTTCATTTTCCAATGGTGATTACCAGTGTCGGGCAGTAGCGCGCTCTTCGCTATTCTACTACTAACGGAGCTAATTTCAAGCGCATCAGCTCACTTCTTTTTTTCATCCAATGAAAATTAGTAACGATAAGTTCCACCACAATAGCTTTTAGGTTCAAAAAATGGCGTCAATGTCACTTTACGGTCGAAGGATCAACATCACATGGAAATTTCTAAGGTGGATTCAGTCTGTGAGTTTGTTAGTTGACGACAGAATTAAGTGGCGGGATATGTGCAAGCACGACGACACAGAGGGCGAATTCGCCTCAGTGGTACTCTACAATAAGTAAAGAGTGACTTGTTCACGGTGAATGTGGTAATGAACAGTAAGTTGAATGAAAGTACAGGAATGCATTCCGTGGGCAAACGCTATTTGCAAATAATCATATGGAGCATCTGATTGATTTCACTCACAATCAGAGATGTCACAGTAATACGATTAATCAATAATGCAAATTCAAAAAGAATCGTCGAAAATCAACACAATTCAACGATCCGCAATCAAGCTCGATCCATCAAGTTAACGCAACATATCGATTACCAGTTCCTAGTTCTGTCCATACACCGTGGAATCAAGCTGAAGCGTTCAGTTAAAGAATTGGAAGAATACAAAGATCCAGACACTTTGCAGTTATTAACCTTAAACTGCGATAGCGCTATCAAGCTAATTTTCATCTTTCTACATCCAAAAATGTTTCACTCGTTGTCTAAATATCTCGATGACTCCATCTCGTATTGTTGCCCACTTCTAAGTATATGTTAAAGGGCGTGCTTATCAGCTGAAAAAGTGCTGAAATTCGATTAATGATGGACACATTGAGCATCACTTGTGAAATTTTAAACCGAAATTTGAACTTTTTGCACAACAGGGTTGATGACTCTATCAATTAACAGTATGTGACTTTGCGTTTATTTCGATTTGCATGCTTCCTTCATTCTGCTAGTTAAGCTGAATCTTAGGAATGAGAAATATATGTTAGGGTTTTTCATTAATGAATGATGCGTTTCAAACCTTGTTCATTATAAACTTAAGATTGGTCTTAATTTTACCTGTTTTCGCTCAGTTAATACGTTCAGATTTGTTTGTTTCAGAACTGTCAATTGTTTGACCTCTTCTTATGATATTGTGGATATAAATTTATTCGTCAAAATGATTGATAGCGTTCAAAGTTTATTTCTTTGGATGCTTCCATGAACCACATTACGTCAGTTTCGAAAGTTTGTGCTGAGTCTTTTTATTCCTGTTACAAGTATTGTAAAAATTATGTTAAAGGAGTTTGCTATAGATTTGAACTGTCACAACTGAATAATGTAAACAACTGCAAATGCTTAAATACTTTTGATCCTTCACGTATCACAACTTTCAATTTATCGAATGCAAGCACTCGAAAGCAAGCTAATTACGTTCTCGAACTCAGCCGTGTGGATATCTTTTTCAGTGCTCGGTTTTCATTTGAATTGTGTTTCTGTTGTCTCTGGATGAAAGAACGATTAACAAATAAACAGCACATGGTTAAACTGTAATGGTCAGAAATAAGCATAGGTTTTCGAGAGGATCGTCCAGTGCATCTCATTTCAGTTACAAAACTCATCATTTCAGCACATATTTTTCAGAGACATCTGATTTGATGTGAGCGAGGTTGATATTGTTAGGCATGCAGAATGCTTGCACACAGATGTTAGTTCAAGTTAAGCATGTGCCACAGAAGAATTCTATGATAATTCCGAAAGAATGTTTTTTTAAATGTTCAAGAAAAATTCTAAATAGGTCCGTGCTTCTCTTCCAGTTTTAACAACATGGCTCGTCCCTCGCGATAAATTTTGTCTTTGTTGTCCCCCCACAAAATCGTTACTGGAACGAGTATTTTCTTGATTTTACTCATCAGTGCACATATCTCCTTTCCGGCGCTCAAACTAAGCAAAACATTGCCGCCCATACTCGTGCCGTTGTTCAGTGCTATTGCGGCAACCTCTTGGATAAGTTACTGAAGCGAGCGCATGCCGCATTTGCCGTTTTAACTGAATGCACCAACAGCCACTGCTTCATTCATACATTCATCTCGTTTTATCCGAGTTCTTCTTCTCTGTCTTGTATTTGGCGAAATGTCCGAACAACTCGGCGTATAATCAAAGTTTGAACGATATAATCAAAAAATGAGTTGCAATTTTTTGTTCGGAGATGAGTTAGTTCTCGGGAGGGTGATTGTGGAGTGTTTTTAACTGCTTCAGATGTGGGGAGTTTTTTTTTGAGATATTGATCAGATTTACTAAGATATCCGTTGCCTGATGCTCAACTTCGTCAGTTTACTTCATTTTGATTAGTTCTGGGATATTGTTACGAAATGGGTGCTGTGTGGAGGGATTATGTGTTTCTGCTGAGTCTGACTCAGAGCTGGACTCTGATCTTAGTGTTGTAAGCAATATCTGAACATTGATTATGAAGGGAAATTTTGATGAAAGACATATTTACGATGAATTTAGTCGAAAAGAGGAAGTGTTATTCTTGGTATTAGTATGATACGTTCGGTCTTGTGCGCGCTGATGGTTTCAACCAAAATTGAAATTCTGTTTAGTCATTTTTAAGTGGTAATTCTATCAGCTATCACAATTTTGTTCTCATCATCGTAACGAAAACAGCTAATTTCATCTTTTCAATTACTTCGTGAAACTCAAATGTGTTCTTTTGTAAATTTGTTCAATATGATTATGTGTTGTAAGTACGATTAGAGATGAGAAATGGAAGGTTTTTTCCGTGGCCACCTCATATCATAACCATCGAACACCATATCGGTGGCCACTGATAAGGTAAATTTTATGCGAAGGTCAGTTTCGATTGGTAGTCACCGAACTTCGCCATTTCCGTGACCATCCACTGATAAAGTAATTTCGGTCGGTATTATCAAAATTTGGCTTTCGGTTACGATAGGCCTAGCGGCAAACATTTATCGACGGCAAAACGTCGGTGGCCACCCACTTAACTCTAGTTATGATGTTGAGCCGTACCGATTTTATTCTTGCACTCGAGGAAAGCCATAGCAGCCGTAGTTTCTGAAAATTTCATTTGTCTGGCTGTCTATGATACGCTTCAGTCAGCCAGCTCCGTTCCATAAAGTTCTTTGAACGAAATTGACATTTGAATGTGTTCAACGCGATTCAGTTAATCCTTCGAGCGTCGTGCATTAATTTCGTTTAATTGTGTCGTTGTCATTCGGTGTTATTTCAAGTGAATGCTTCTCTTCAGGAATCACTGAAGCATAATTAAATCATAATCGACGTAGCAAAATCGTAAAGAAATCGAAAAGAAATACAAACAGCGAAAATGGTTAGTTTTTTGCAAGTTTGCATATTGTTCAGTTGAATTATTTTAGGTCATAACAAATGAAAGAAGTCATCTTTGATCGATATGAAGTAGAATTTTCATACCTCCGCAGTTCTAATGAAATGGTGCCAAAATTGCAGCTTTTTAAAGCGTTATCCTTTTTTGATTGTTCTTAAGTATTTGTTTGTGTCAAAGGACAATTCAACATATTAGCACGTAATAATGTTCTGTCGTCATAGTTTAGTTTAGACGACAGATATTTGGTTGCCACACTTTTGATTGAGACACACCGGGGTTGGTACTCAGAGTTAGGAGACCAGATATCCTGAGCTGAATGTGAAATGTGTGCAGTTAAATCGATTGTGTGTTATTCGTTTGTAGACGATCAGTAAGAATAATAAAATGATGGCTCATTTGAACTATCGCATGAAGGTGGCATTACAAGACTCACGTACCTTTATTGGATATTTCAGAGGTTGGTGTTTCACTCTTCTTTCTTTTCATACACTTGTGATCGGAGGTTGTGTTATGTGTTTGTTTATCTCTAGTTTACAAGTTTCATCGTGCAAATATTTCAGCTTTTGATAAGCATATGAATATCTTGCTGTCGGATTGCGAAGAGTATCGGACGATCAAACCGAAACCAGGAAAGAAAAATACAGTGGTAAATGATTGTTTAATTTTTCATTCTAACGTTAGATCTCATCAGCTATTGTTCGATGGAATAGCGATTGTGAGTTACTGAATATATGAAAAGTTGAGTTGAATATCGGATGTTTTTTGTTGTTGGATTGTATAGAATCGGTGAATTCGAAGATTTGTTCTTTTCGAATAAATCTGTAAATGAAAGCTCATTCGTAAGTGGTGCATATGAATTTTGATTGAAAGGGAATGTTTCAAGGAAGAGGAAATGCGTACGTTGGGTTTGGTGTTATTACGTGGTGAACATATCGTATCAATGACCATCGATGGACCTCCACCGAAAGACGATGAAAGCGTTAAGCTACCGAAAGCAGGCGGAGCAGCAGGACCTGGTGTGGCTAAACCAGCTGGACGAGGTGTGCCCATGGTACCTCCTGTTGCTGGCGCACCTCCACCAGGTTAATCATCATCATACTATTATTATTATCAGATAATTTTCGTTATTGCTTACTGCACAATAGAACCATGAAAGAAACATTGTTCATGCAGCATCACAGTTTGAAAACTTATCGTACATCTATGAATTTGCGTTTTTGTTGGCATTTTTTAGACGGAAATGATTTAAGGATTACAAGGTGCTGTACGTGGTATTGGAGGACCGGGAATGTCAATAATGCAACCAGGGTATGCGATGCCACCACCAATGCAAGGAATGCCACCGCGACCACCAGGACCCTTCTGATCTGTGCTTTTGTTTTTGTTGTATTCATATATATCATGTTGTGTTTGTATTCACTTCGTCTCAATAAACCCTTCACCAAAGTTCTCTTCTTTTCGTTCAACCACTACACTGAATCATGAGTTGCAACTCTTACGATTCAATATTATCTGGCAAATTTCGTTGTTTCCATCTGAATTGATCAATTGCATTTTTTTTTCGTTTTTGGAGTTTCTGCTGAGCTCAGAAAACGTCATTCCAAGACGATATTCCAATGAGCAACAGTTCATAACTCAGATAAATTTCCCAAACATGTCAATCGGTTGTGAAATATTCATCTTACTTTGTTTATATGAACTGTATAGCTGAAATTCTAAAAGTGCTCATTCAAGCGTAGTGTCACCATCGGGCGTATAGATTTTGGTAATGGTCTCAATAAATTCACTTTTTCGAGTTTCTGGTGAGGTCAAAAAACGTCATCCGAATGAATGTTGCTTTCGAAAGTTCCATCGCTGAGTTTATGTTGGTTTCGAACGTTCAGATCATTCAGTTGGTGCAGTTTTCGCTCAAATAAAGAGGGATAAGGCGTGTTCAAATGAATAATGGGGTCTTCCAAGTAGATGTTGACGTCGATCCTTTATCTAGATATCCTTATTTGGGTGGGAAGGATGACAGGTTCGAAATTTTTTGAAGGATAAAAAAAGGCGTTCAAGTTGTGAGTTACGGAGCAATAGCAAGTCTGATGCAAATGGAGATTACGGAAATGCTATGATTTCAAAGAAATTATCTGGAACGGATTTGTTGAGTTTGTGTGATCCACTAGAAATTGATATGAAGCTGTAAATTACTTATTGTTAGTATAACAGGAAAGATAAGTCGATGAAAGTCGGAAACGGTTTGTTAATTAAAATCAAATCATTTTCGCCGTATGCAAATGGAAATAATTACAGAAAGATGCCACCCAAGAAAAAGGAAGAGGAGAAACCAACGCCACTAATGGGTCGCATTGGCACCAATCTCAAGGTTCAAAAAAAATTTTCACGTTCATATTTCTTCAGTGGTAATATGTTGATGGAAGTGTTGTTTTTGTTTTTTCATTTGTTCATTCTTATTGCATCTCATCGAATGTATTCTTCAGATGGGTATTCTTGGACTGCCAAATGTGGGTAAAAGTACATTTTTTAATGTGCTAACGAAAAGTCAAGCACAGGCTGAGAATTTTCCTTTTTGTACGATTGATCCGAATGAAAGTAAGCAAATGTTTTATTGCTGAATCTGTATAAGATTTCTCTTTAATCTATCGATCAAGTTGTTCAATCATCACATATTTTCTGTATCTGTTCACGAGCATTTGCCGTTAACGATAATCGAATGAAGTAGTGTGTGTGTGTGTGTTTGTTCATGCTTTATTCTCAGCTCTATGCAAAGTTTTCATTTTTAAAAATGTTTCTTTTTCTTGTGAAACGTTCATTTGTAATAGACTAAAACAATGCGTTCAGATATATTGAACGGAATGAATGTGAATGAGAGTGGAGAAAACAACAATTTGATTTGATTGATTTCAGGTCGTGTACCGGTGAGTGATAAACGGTTCGATTGGTTAGTTGAACATTTTAAGCCGGCCAGTCGTGTGCCAGCCTTTTTAAATGTGGTTGATATTGCTGGTTTAGTGAAGGGTGCATCTGAGGGACAAGGACTTGGGAATGCATTCCTTTCACATGTTAGTGCATGTGATGCACTGTTTCACCTTTGTCGGTTCGTTGTTTCACTTGCATTCGTTTGCCTCTCTCTTTCTTCCCTCCATCAACCCCCCACCCCCCTTCTCCCGCCATACCTTTGGTTAGAGCTTGTTTGCTGTCATTATGTTGTCAGCTAAAACTGGATATCCTCCAAACCCTTTTATCAGCAAACGTAACCAAATGTGTAAAAGGGTCAAAAATTTTGCACGTCTGAAACGGGTGCAAGCTAAAAACTCAGTCTGAATGATCAACTTCAAATTTGAAATCAATATGGACTTAGGTGGATCCAGTCAATTACGAATAGTTATTGGGTTACACTTGTCCTGTTGCTTGATTGTGCATTTAGGCATTAAGTCAACAATGCCACGGTGAGATTGGTGAGGCGTTTTCATGAATTCAGACAATTTTTGATGGTACTTCTACAGGCTGTCTCATCCAAAAGGGAGCAGAGTTTTTGAAACGAATGTTTAAAGTAGTTAAATATAATTCGGATGATCCTCCAATCGTGGAGTATTGTCGAGGAACAACTTTATCTGACAAACACTTCGGTTGACGGTATGCAAAATGCACGAAAGTCTGAATAAAAACTGGAACTCACAATCAACTAATCAAATAATCACGTAATCGTTTTTGAAATTATCGCCTTATTGAATTATAGTTTACTGATCTTCAATGAGCTTGCACTGTTGCGGAAAGAGTATAAATTAGACAACAACTGTGGATAATGCGTAAGAAGGTGGAAGAGGTGATCGATGAAACACAGAACGAGATCGAATAGCATGATTGATATACGATGCGAATGTTGATTATTTGTTGAAATCGGAAAATTTTCAGCAAGCATTTTTGCGCGTTTGGTTACGTTTGATAGAAGGGTGGCATTTTGCGTTCATTTTTCCTCGTAATAATAATTTCTTAAGAATATATTTCATGCCCGTCATGAATGTATTTCAAATACTTTCAGTGCGTTTGATGATGAAGATGTGATACACGTTGAAGGTGAAGTGGATCCAGTTCGTGATTTGGCAATCATAGGAACTGAATTGATCAAAAAGGACTTGCAATATTTGGAAGGAGCAATGGATAAAGTGGAGAAATTGGCAGTCCGAGGTGGTGACAAAAGTAAGAAACCTGAATACGAATGCTTAGCTAAAGTAAGTAATTGTTTGATGATTAATACATTGGAAACTGATTCGTTATCAGTCACTTGTCTTTCATCAATTAAGCTAATGTCATAATAGTAAACCGTCTGAGTTCATCTTATTTGATTGTGCAATTTATAATTTCAGGTGAAGAAGTTATTGGAAGAAGAAAATAAGCCAGTGCGTTTAGAAACTTGGAATGAAAAAGAAATTGAAGTGTTGAATCATCACCTACTTTTGACAGCCAAACCGATCGTTTATTTGGTGAATCTCTCTGAAAAGGATTATATACGCAAGGTTATCTTATTTTGTTCATATTTTACTGAATAATGGTGATTGTGAATGATCGAGCCATAGATCAATAACAGCATTCAGCTATGTCAATGGTGTCGATTGTATCCAGATGACGGCATCCGAGCGAATTTTCATATCGGTTGCAATCCGACTAAATTGACATTTTGAATTTCGAATGCCGAGAGTGTGTTGTTTCGTATCGGTATGCATTTCTAAGCGTGCTCAGTATTATGCGCTCATTCAGAAGAATAAATGGCTGCCGAAAATGAAGGCATGGCTAGATGAGAACGATCCGCATGCTGTGTGCATTCCGTTTAGTGGCGTATTGGAACTGAAACTTATGGATATGCCTGAAGATGAGAGAGCAAATTATTTGAAAGAGCATGGGACGACGAGGTGGAGTTTGCATTGCATTCTTGATATGCCTGTAATTGGTAATGCTCGTCATGTCCTATCACATCGTAACTCTGACCAGTGACCGTCATCGAATCAATTTCAAAAATGCCCAAGATTCTGTTTTTCGGAAAAAAATTCAGAAATTTTTGGTTGGAATTTGTTTGAATCATCCATTTTCAGAATGCCGAACAGTTAGGCGTAGTGTCACAGATCGATATCTATCATTCATTATAGTAATGAAATTTTTTTAGAAATTTGATCTCAGCAAAGCATAGTGATGTTTGATTCTGTTTCATTGAGTTTAATTCACATTTGGCTGTACTTATAAAGTAATTGCAGTGCGTTGGAGAAGATCGTAAGAACTGGTTATAATGCGCTACAATTGGAGTATTTCTTTACGTGCGGTAAAGACGAGGTGAAAGCTTGGACAATACAGGTTTCTCTTTGAAATTTCATTAGCGCAAACAGAAAGTTTGATTTAAATTTTTTTGGATTGGCCAGGCTATCCGACGTTGTTGACCAGAGTATATTTGCGTTCGGTGGCTGAACTTGCCATCTTTTGCTAGCTGTTACCGGGTTGCTTGCTGATTTGATTCATTCCATTGTGAACAAATTCTTCCTTCTTTTAGATGATTATTAAAAAATGCAGCAAGTGATGTTTAGATTATCCGTGCACATTCAGTCATTTCTGATGTTATTCCACCTTTTCGTTTTTGATCATTTCGAGAGCAGTCTCGATCTGGCGAACTAGAATTGGTGGCACCTCTTCTGACTGTTAATATATGAAGGGGTTATGAGTCGAGTAGATGATTTAAAAAGATTCATTAGAAGGTTTTGCAAACTTCTTCCATTTCACTTTGATTTCTCTGTTTCTGATATATTGAAAAGAAACCCGGTGATTGGTCATTGACTAGTTGAAACGTTCGTCGTCTGAGAGCTAACCCAATGATTTTCTCGTTAATTTAGTACAACAGTTATTATTACTTAAAATAATCGAATGCAATTTTTATACATAATGAAAGAAAGAGACGCTCGTCACTGTTAACAGGACGTATTTAAAATGTATCTAATCGTATGTTCTATGTTTCTATAGAATGACTGAATATAACAAGTTGCGTTAAACGAACGTTGAAGGGATCTTCAAGAGTGAACATTTCAGAAAGGAACGAAAGCACCGCAAGCAGCAGGCAGAATTCATACTGATTTTGAGAAGGGTTTTATAATGGCCGAGGTTTGCAAGGTGGATGATCTGATGGAATTGGGCACTGAAAATGCAGTCAAAGCAGCTGGTAAGTATCGTCAACAAGGCAGGAATTATGTGGTGGAAGATGGCGACGTTATTCTGTTCAAATTTAATGCTGGTGCTGGCTTAACGTCCAAAAAGAAGTAAATTCAAAAATTGTGATAATTTCTTCAGCCAAGTTCATACAATTGTTATTGTTTTGTTTCACTAGAGGATGGGTCTGATTTTGTGTTGCTTTGTTATTTTTTATTGCTAATCGAGTCATTTCGTCAAATTCTATTTAATTCTAATGTAAACGTGTTGTTTCATAACGTTTCGAGCGATAAATATATTTGTTATCGGGTTTTTGGTATTTATTGCACTGTCTCAAATCCTGTCTTTGCAAAGAATCCTCCGATAACACAACCAAACATTTTGAATGCACAACAGAAAGTAGTGGCTAAGACGGCGTTTTGTTTGAGTGTTCAGAATTTTATTAGCATGCCGTAATGAACTATATAATACAGTGGTGACCTATTAATATTGTCATCACTGTAGCTGTTTCACTGGAGGAGAAAACGAAACAAAAAGCATAAAATTGCTCAATGATACTAAACTATTTTCATTTGTATGATGTGTTCGTTGCCTTATTGGTTGCATTCACAGATGCCAGTGAAGTGCAAAATGGGAAACGTTAATATATAAACACGCATTGTACGGGATGTACTAACCGGTTTTGATGTGTTAATTTTACGGCGAACACGAGACTCGTATTTGATGTGTGATGGAGGATTGTAATATTTTCCATTTATGCAATACTGTATGTTAGAGCGAAGATTACTTTTTCTTGCCGAATCTTTTTAAGAAAACATTTTAAAAAGCACAACATTACACATCTAGTGGAACTATCGTGTAGACGACGGATGCAATGCAATTCAGTGTCTACAATTCGCAGTATAAGTGTGAAGTGTTGGTTGGTACGGTTTACTAAATCTGATTGTGTAATGTGAAAAATGCTCCCTGTTCACATATTCAAGAATTTTTGCTTTCTCAACAGAGACGATTAAATGAGATCGAGTTTTTCGAAGTTCACCGTTCGGTTGGTTGGTCACATGAATACAACTTTAGTTTGGTGATTGTTTTGTGAAATGCGCGATTCAATATGTTCATTATTGGTATGTGCAAAGAATTTACGTTTCTCGTTTGCTATTCCCTTCATGTGCACAACAACTTGTATGCCCATCGCCTGCAACGCCAACCCAACAGGATGTGTGTGTGTGTGTTTGGAGAGTGTGCAACGGGCGAATGCTGATCGATGCCTGCCAGAACACTTGATCAATACGGTGCCGAGGCAATCACAGAAAGAAATGCCACTGCTCACGTGTTCCGTTCACACCAATCGCCTAGTTCTCGGTGAAGACACACTCTCTGCACCGAATCGCTCTCTATTCATCTAGGTAAACGATGTATGACAAAGTGCTCTAGATGTGTGCACACAGTGTTTTGTGTCGACGAATCGTTGCTTCTATCTATGAGCACACTGAACATATAATACACACTCGTAGAACGTATGGCAAACGTCTCATTGATCAGCGTTTACTAATGCAATAATCGATTGTGGGGGGCATGTCTTCGGAGGCGTGGTCGAACGCATTGTTTTTGTCCCCGGGGAGGACGTGCGTTGCGGTGGATGCGTATGCGGCACCTCATTTATGACTCCGCCTTTGTTAGTGTATTGCCCCACCCTCTAGTGAGCGTTGTCCCGCCCCCAGACGATGACTGACACCACCCCTATTCTTCCGAAGCCTCACAACGACACACCCATACTGCCTAAGCCACCAAATACTGCTCCAGCTAATACAAGCACAATACAACATCAACAGGTTAATTATATGATAAAAGCTTATCCATTATCATTTGTAATTGCTGAATGTTTTTTTGCGCTGAAATTTGGTGTAGAGAAGTGGATAGACGATGTGCATTCATCATATCGATTATGATGAGAATTGCGAGCATGATCGCTGCTGCATCTTGCTAGCTTTTATGAACGTCTCCTCAGGTAAAGTCCCTCAAAATAGTCACTTATCAACTGCTAATGCAGTCATTCTTTACGAGTTTGTGCCGCTCTGTTATCGTCAATATCACATTCTTCCTTCCTTGACATCCTCTTTTCCACAGCACTAGCAGCGCTAGTAACCGTTTATTGTCAAGAAATTCTAACTTCGATTATTGATTTAGCGATCGTGCAGGTTTTAGGCTTCGGTTCCATATTGCTCAATGATTTCTGGGGAGACGTACTCAAAAAGAGTCCATTCCACTTGGTCGATTGAACATGCGTCCAACGATCGTTGTGTTGTGTGCAACCAACAACCATAATCTTTCGGGATCAATAGAGAACGAAGTGACCGAATAGATCCATAGCGATCGACCTATTAAACATTCCACAACCAAACAACAATGAATGCCCGTTGTTACAAATATTTTGCATAATTAAGCCTAGCCGAATACCGGTTTTCGGCAAATCAACCTGTCAATATCCAAATCCTAACTATAAGTACAATCCCGATATTGAGTGCACCACACTCCTTCTTGTAACCACTGATGCGCATGAATATATCTGTCGATTTGCGTTCCACCTTACCTACACTCTACATGAATGTAGAGAGTGTAGGTAAGGTGAAACGAGGACGTTACCCTCGTAAAACAACTAATCAAGAGCAGGAAGTTCTAAGTATTACCCGAGTCAGTTCAGCTCATTCTTAACTTGAACGAAAGTCAAAGCTTAAGCCTGACCTAAACGAATGAAGTTATATTGCATCCGGATGCTCTGTGTAAGACCTTAATGCGCCGTATGCGTGTAATTTTAATTTTTGGAACACTACAAAAATGTCAGCCATTCCAGTCGGTGCTATTCGTTCACTGCCCGATCGATTTATTTATAAAGTAGCGCCTCTAGAGTTAAAGAAGCGTATTATTAGAAAGAGTGAACAATCACACTCGAGCACACATCTTCTAGGTTAGTGGTGTATTCTCGCAAAGGGAATGTGCACCGTTAGCTCGTCATCAAGGTGTTGAAGTAGCTGAATTCTGTTTAAGGATTACAGTTGTGCATGCAATGATTTCTAACTGTAGCATCGAGCTGATCGCTTGAAACAAAACGAAGATAAATAGGGTCACTAGAAATGAGACAGGATTACTGGAAACACATCGATTTTGCCTCCTTCTCCCCTGTGATATTACAGTGAATTTTCTGGGAATTTTGACGATGCATTTTTGACGATTCGGGCAGCACTGTTATTTCTTTCTACTAGGGTCAATCAAAGTGTGGTCACTCGACTGATCTGAGCTTAAATCACACCGAACGTTAAGCGCTGGTCTGTGCATCCTGCACGATAATGCTTTTCTTAGCAGGGCTCACCTTACCCAACCTGTTTCTCATGACTGCGAATTCAGATGGGCCAATAATTGTTCACTTTTTGAAGAATCAGTACTCAGTTCTTGGTTCCATCTTCAGAATCGAAACAAAAGCATTGTGAGTTAGAAGTTTCAGCCAAAAAAATGACTTGAAGTTGACTATCAAAGAGCATTCCTATGGTCAGGATAAAAAATTCTATGAGCAGGAATGCCGAGCACTGCAAATCTGTTCATTGTGCTACTGGCTAGACGTAGGTTAAGGCAAATCGATGAAATTTGTGCTGAGATAGTGAGATGAGTGTGCTTTTCGAAACCCTGACTGATCTGATACTCCAAATCTAACTACACCAAATCTTTTCGTGTTGGCCTGTTTGAGGATTCTTTTATTCGGGAATCAACTCAGTAGCCACTCATCGGAACCGAATGCAACCGATCGATCGGTAGCGACTGGAATGTGTGTCGTCTGCCGACTTCAGTATCTAATCATGAAAATATCGAAATCCGCCAAAGCGTAACCTATCCTAAAATTCGATGGAATAGTCGAATTTTAATTGCACAAGTGATTGTTATTCTTTAGTTGCCGAAATGATTGTTATTCGTCATGTTTACACTGAATAAATAAGTTCAGGTGCAATTTATACCAATATCACCTCAACCGGTAGGCGGTCAGCAGCCGCAACAGGTTCAACTAATACCAGTGAGTGGACATAGTCCAGGCCAGCAGTTCATTGTCATTCAGCAACCGTCAATCTCGACACCTTCGTTGCCACTACATTCGTCGAATAATGCACCACAACCCAATCAGTTATATATCGTACAACAGCCAGCAAATGGACCCAATCATCCATCGCAACAGGTGCCCACAAATCTGGAATATTTTCTTTGAGATTCAATCAATCAAATCATGGCATAAAACTGGTGGCATATTTAATTGGTGATTGAATCTGAAGATTCAATCACCAATTAGATATGCCACGAGTACAGTTATCTTGAAATCACCAAGCATTGAATCATCCATTTATAGATCGCATTCATTCCGGTGCAAATGCAGCCAACCAGCACAGTTCCGGCGCCAGCCCAAACTCCGCCAACGACCGAAACGAAGCCGATGATTGCGAATCTACAGCCACACTCGAATCTACAACAAATGAGTAACGTCGATGTGATGACGCCACCTGCTTCCAAACAGGAAACTTCCAATTGTACACTCAGTGCTGGTCAACAGAGAATCACTCTTGGTCAGTTGTTCAGTGATGATATGACGAACTTAATTTATTGTTGAAATAATCATCAGTAGCCTAGTGAAGTAGCAACACCCCACTGTTGATGTGATTCAATCAGCATATATTTCGCTTTAATTCTGAACTTTTCTCTTTTTTTTCAAATTTTAAACTGCTTTTCGTAATTTGCGTGATCATAATTGTGATGATTTGTGGGTAGTGTTGTTGTTTTTGTCGTTTTTTTTTTGTTTCAAAATTTAATTTTAAACGTTTTTAGGAAATTTGCATTTCCAACAAGATCCAAACGATCCACAAAAGTGGATAATCACAAATGAAAGTGCCGAAAATTCAGCATCCAATCAGACAGGTTCATCGTTAACAAGACAACAGGATTATGATATCTCACCAAGTGGCTCCAATCTGAATCAATCTGGAAATGTCACCACTTTATCATTCAAACAGAAAACACCCAAAAGGACCGCATGCAATTGTCCAAATTGTCAAAATAATTCCAACAACAAAATGTTAGAATAAACAAACAATATCATTTCTTTACTCTATTTCATCATCTTTTCAAATGTTGAGGCTAACGTTCAGTGAGTGAACCTTAGTTGAAAACGTTTATGTTAGAAAGTTTGATGCTATCATTAGGTTTGTTTTTGAGAGTCACTCTTTGAGCACGACATGAAATGTGTTATATTTAATTAGCATAATCGTTAGTGGTTTCAGGATGAGGAGTGGTGAGAAGTTGCGTTTACATGTTTGTCACTTGTGTGAGAAGACGTATGGTAAAACGTCGCATTTGCGTGCACATCTCCGTGGACACGCTGGACAGAAACCGTTTGCGTGCGATTGGGCACACTGTCAGAAACGATTCACACGCTCTGACGAGCTTCAGAGACATCGAAGGACACATACTGGTTCATTATTCACACATCTTGCCGAGTTGTTTGCACTTTGTTTGTTAGAGCTATTGAAACAAAATTGTTTCACCGACACTTTACTCTAAAACATTGAAAATAATTTCCATCTTTTGCATTCCTAATGAATGTAGTCTTGTTATGCGGTCGTTATTTCGTGATTATACTTTATCATTCATCTTACGTACTGCACAAGAAAATACAAACAAGGCGAATTGAGAAAGCAACTGTACTGTAATGAATATTGCGGTAATTTCTACGAATTCTAAATTGTGTTATTCAGGAGAAAAACGTTTCACGTGTAATCAGTGCGGCAAGAAATTCATGCGATCGGATCACTTAACGAAGCACGAAAGAACACATTCTTCATCGCGTGGACACGCAGCCATTGAAAACTCGCAACGTGCACAACAGAACATGATCAACTCCAATTAATCGTCATCATATTACTCGTTCCAGTTTTGTCCATCTGTTACATCATCTATCTACTCTTTTACTGTTCAACGTATTATACATGCTGCATTTATATCTCTCTCAATGGTGCTGTGCTTAACACTTTATTGAGAATAAGCAAAAGCATGTGTTCATTAATTTGCATTAATCGACGAAAAACTTAGTTTCATTTTTGGAATTTTTTATTTGTATTTTCATATTTTAACGTTTCATTCTACATTCTTGATTTATTTTCATTCATTCATCCAACAATGTTGTTTGTTTGTTTGTGTGTGTGTGTGTGCATGTGATATAGAAGCAGGTCTGTTTCTTTGCGTTTGGCTCACGCGTTTCGTTCTATTAAAACTACGTTTTTATATGAAACTGTAGTGAGGTTCAGTTAATCGATTATTTCATTAATCGTTATGTGGATATGTGAATTGCTTGATTGCTAATTGAGTATGTTTTCGTTCAACTTCTCAATAAAGTTCGGTTACCGTTATTCGTTTTTCTTTGTGTGCAAATGTGTTGAAGATTGATCAATCTAAAAGATAGCAACGTAGCAACGAGGCCACAGCGATAAATTTCAACTGATTCAGTTCTTGAAAAGTGTAACAGTTGTTTATTTGATTACGATTTTAGCAGTTATCTCTTTCCCGAACTTGGAACAGGGCTGTCTTTTTGTTTGAAAGCAATAGACCGCTTGAAGTTTGCTGGAAAACTAACAATCCCACAGATTTATTTCATAGTTTTACATCAGCGATCGTCAATTTCATCATTTCAGATAACTTTGATGAAGTACATTCGTCGTAACATTTTTCAGTGTCACAGCAGTATTGTTCTACTGGGGATGTTCCAAAGAGTCGGTCCAAATAAGAAGTTGATGAATGACTGAGGACTGGTGGGATTTGAGAGACTGATGAATAATCCATAAAAAGGAACGTGAAAACGCTCTTCGTCTGAGAGTGGCTATGGGATGCTTGAGCAATAATAACTGTTAACAGTATTGCGCAAAAAAAAGGTGAAGTAACGGTGCGTTGTGGAAATGCTCTGAATACCCTTTGCGTTCAACTAAGATGTCGTGAAATTAACCATTGTCAGGTGAAGAGGCCACCCACGATTGCTATACTGACCATGTCAAAAAAAAAGACAGCTGCTATGTGGATTGATGTGTGTGCGTGCGTGTGTCCGTTGTAAATCCAAACAGCGACTTGGCCATAACTATGAAGTTTCTAACTGACACTCCTCCAAATTACATCGTAATCACGGTTTGCTACATCAATACAATGAACTACTGAATGTGTTTTTACTCAAACAGCACTGGTGTCATGGGGCGAAAGCATGCCTAAAATCATAGTTTTTAATAATGGAGCTCAATGGTAGTATACGGGATTACAGGGATAATCTTTTGCTGCAAAATTCCTTCCAGAAACTATCATTGACAGATTGTTTTTGCTACCATTTTTGTGCTTTTTTCCACTATATTTAATCAGTGGACGCAAAAAATAAATGTTTTTCCTTCTGAAAGTCTTTACATATTTCTCTTTTCGAAAAACATTTGTGTGTGTGGCATCAGCGTTTTAATCATATCAAAAAAAAAACTGTTTCGATGGTTGGTGAACAGAGTTAATTGGAAATGATCTGAAAGGATTACTACCGATTTGATTATGCAAAAAGTAAGAAATATACTTTCGTAATGATTTTTTGAAATTAAATTAAATCGAATTGAGGCCAGTAGAATTTCAAGTGTAGTTGTATGGGTGATATGTTCAATACAAAGAAAGATCAACATAAGAAATCTTTTATGCGATTTTTGTGGCGAAGGTGTTGTTAGATAGCGATAATCGACTGAATGAGGTGTAACTGATAGCAGAAATGTGATGAAAAGCAATCAAATATCAGTTGCAAAAGCATCGGCAATATTCGTAGCAGTTACAGAAATGATTCATCATTCAGAAAGTAACCGTGTAATTATAACTGAAATATTTTTGAAAAAAACCGAGATATCACTTCGAGAACAATCACAATAGAATATCAAATCGATTCACGTGATTGATCGACTGCGTAGCAAACAATCAATCATGAATATGCTCTTAATAATCAGCAACAGTTATTTAATTGGACACATGCATGCTTTTAGTAGCTATTCGCATTCATTCACATCATACAATTACCGCTTACTATCATAATTGTTATTGAGATCATTTTTGTCATTTAAGTAAAACCGTATTGTGTGAATGGTTTTTTCATTGCTATCACGCTTATTGTTTGAATGGATAATCCCGTTCAAATTTGTACACGAAGATTCGATGGGTGACAGTAGCAGTTGACGTATTTCACTATCGTAATAAAGCGTGCCATTCGGCGATTTGTCGTCGTGGATTATTGCGCACTTGTGACCAGTGCTCACTTTCGCATCCAATTACACAACGACCCATTACCTGAAAATTTAATGCAATACACATTTCAAACAAACAATTTTTCTTTTCCTCTTGAAATTCACATAGTTGAAACTGTTGAACTGTTGAAGGCATGATTTTAGATTTTAAAAAACTCTTGAATAAAGGCATGATTTTTGGCATTATCAACGCTTATTGCTCTTCATTTCGTGTCCCTCTATTTCATCCGTAAAAATGCTAAGAATTAGTGATTGGTTATGATATCAACAGAAAGATAGTAGAGAAGAATAGGAAAGTGAATGCGATGAAAGCGAATGGAATTGAGAATGTAAACGAACCTCATTTTTGGTGACTCTATCCCAATCCATTACAACGATTTCGAATTGAACCGAATCCAAGTCACGAATATCTGAGCTCGGTAATTCGAACACAAATGATTCATTATAAACCGGTGAAAGGGTTCGCTTTTTAACATGGCTCTTCTTCTTGGCGATTCTTTGTCCATTGTACACCATATAGAGTTTCACGTAGGGATCTTGAAATGAACCATTAGGTTATTTATGCTTAATCTGGCCGACAGTCTCATTGCCGCATTGAAACAGCAATAGAGTGGCAATTATTTCACTCAAAAACATCACAAAAAACTAACTGATAATGATGGTTGGTTGTTATCATTGAACTAGACTTGCAACTTCTTATGAGGAAGGAATACTGCCACTGAGAACGAAACCATTCGGCAACCAAATCGGCATTTCAGAGATATACATCAATTCTGTTTGAATGGAATTGAATAAATGACTACCTACCAGCCATTCCAGTGATATCGAATTTTGGTAGATTCTTCGCTTTCAGTAATACGACAGCAACGCGATTGGTAGTTGGTTGATAACAAAGCGATAATAGAATATGACCACGATCTTCACCCAAATCTTCACCTCGTCCACCAAGTTCCAGTTCCACGTTTTTTGATTCAGTAATATTCAGTTGTGCTTCTTTTAATGCATAAACACATTCTGCCAACAATGTATCACGGCTATAGCGGTCGAATGCGATCACCTGTACTTTCAACTTCCAATATCACTGATTACTTCAATCGTACAGCTACTCATTTCACAATTATTTCATCCATATAATAGAAGTGTGTCTGAATCAACCGACCTTACTTTTGTTCAGTGATGTGTCTAATGAATTGTATTATTTTGCAGCAAAATAGTTTTGAACAAATAATGAAGCACTTACGTCACAATACTTTTAGTGTTGAGTGGGTTGAATGGACTTTGTTGTGTTATATGATGATTAATAGATTAGAATGTAGAATTTAAAAAAAAGAAAGATGAGATCAGAGATGCAGAATGACGGATGCATTAATGAAGAAGGCTGTTGTTGGCATGACGCTTGAATGACGGCTTGAAAGAATTTTGGCTCATTCGAAAAGTGTCATGTTATAAACAGAGAATGTATTGCGTGTAATGAAAACATTGAAATAAATTTATTGCTGATAATGAAAAGATGAAGTATGAGATGTTAATTCAAAATTAATACACTTGATGTGTGAAAATCGATGCTCTGAAGCAAATGAATTGAAGCAAATTTCGCTAGAATTAAAGCAATTGCTTAAATTGAACTGAATCAGCGTAATCAATTAAATGAGAATTTTGTGTGAATGAATACTTATTTCGAAAAGCTGACTAAATCATGCATTTACCTTTCGTGCAGTTATACGCTGAAGAGAGATAGTTGATTTATAATTTGACTTATAATCGGAAATGATCTCAAATTGTATAGGATTTCATTTTATACTTCAACAATTTATGTACTGATTATTACTCTAGACATATTTGGTAAGTTTAGCAATAGGCAGTACGAAGAGGATTTCTTTTGAAAGCATCGGAGTAGAATTATGGAGCGAGAGAACGAACGTAGACATAGGATCCGATATACTTGTTGTAGCTTATATAAAAAGCTAGATATACTTGTTTTGCACTAATTTATTCGATGTTAACTGTGTGCAGTCAAAGCCACAGAGAGAAGCCAAAATTTGATCTCTTTGGTGCAATTATGTTATTTTGATGGAATTTTCATTTTCACATTTCTATTTTGTTCTATCCTTTGAAGTATCCCGTTCTGTTCTATTCCACATTTTCATTCTGCACTGTAATTGCCAAACCTTTTCTGTTTTATTCTGATTGGACTGATCACGAGTAAATTAGGAATAAAGCAGTTTGAAGCAGCAGGAACATGCACATCAGTGCATCAGTCTTATTCAACTGCTTTGAAAAAAGAATTCGCCTCTTGTTTCATGACCAGAAGGCAACTACTTATGAGTTGAGACCTTAGAAGTGCGGAAATCCAAGAAAATTTCGTTGCGCTAATGCATTCATCTCCAAGTTGGTTGGTAGTCACCGTTGTGCACAGTGCAATTTGGCTTGACTTTATTGCAATCCTTACGGAGTGTTTAGGGCGTTTTAGCTTTTTACAACTCAAATCGGATTACGAATGATGTGAGAAAACAAACTTTAGCGAAAATAATTTTGTAACGTAAATGTAAAATCGATAAATTATTCGAGCCCTAAAGCCACCTAACCCTCTTGTCTCGTTTGTCGTCTTGTTATGTGCCTTTGCAAAATGCTGATTGCATGCTTCGCTCAAAAAGACATTTATTTAATCAGAAAATTTTTCTTTGCTACATATTTCTTCACAGTTCAACATTTCAGTTTTGTTCCAAGCATGCATTCACCAGTTTATTAAAGTTGCGTCTAGGGCAGACACATATATTTGTTTTTCAGTGTCGAATTGAACATTTTCAAAAGTTTGCATCTGATTGCAATTTCGATGCTTTTCTATTCCCAAATGAATGTTATGCTCCTCTTTTTCAGCGACATCAAAATGAAGATAGATCAGCTTTAAAAAATAGCAACTAACGGCAAAATGAAGGCTGATAGTGTTGAGTTGTTCAGGCTCAATGCCATACATCGAAAACGTTTCTTCATAAACGGGATTACGAGTGGCACGTACGAGACGTGTCTTCACTCTGTGCTGTTTTTCGGGTAGTAGTTGCAATTTTACATACGGATCAAGCAAACATTGCCCATCAGCAGCGATAGCTAGTTCCGGTAGATCGCGACAAGAAATGATATTTACCTACAAATAACCTTCATTTTGATATCATTCAAATTATACTGCAACATTATCGACATCGAGCGAAGCCTTTTTTGATACGCTCAACAGTGAGCTCAAACTTTTGGTGGCAACACCAAAGTTACGCTTGTGAACCTAAGAAATTAACTGAATCTTGCCAAATTTACGTTCAGAATGCTCATATGAGCGGCAGGTTGAGAACACATCAAAAAGAGAAATACTTCATTGGTGCGGCAGAGCTTGATAGATAAGATTTTGCCGGCACGCGAAAAAGTTCAGTTCTAAGCTTAACTTTCAATAAGATAAATGATGTTTCAATGATTATTCCCATAGTTATCAACTACATTTAAGGAATGTACCAATGCAAAGGTTCAGTAGTACTCATATATCTTCACCGATCTGACCTTCCCACTGAAGTGAGCTCTCTAACTCATTTCATCATCAACTAATTGCTACCAGGCGAAAAATGAGGCAAAAAAGAAGCAAAAAAATGTCCAAGCAAGCAAGGCATTCAAAGTTTTAGTATTAAAAATAAATATGATCTAATTCTTAGACTATTTGCACAGAAAATAAAACTAGACTGAAGCAGGTTAAGAAGATCAAAGTGAGATACTGACGAAGAATATGCTATAGCAGTGGTCCTCATAAGGGGGTAATTTGAGTAATTTGAGGCTGTCGGGGATAATGGAGGGGATCAGCAAACTAATATTTCGTTTCGATTGCTGAGGTTTCTGCAGTTGATGAATAAAGTTCTAAAACTACCTGTTTCATTCTAAAAAGTTAAGTTCTTTTACGCCACACAGGAATTTGCAGACCGGTTTTCGATTAGCTTGTGACGTTTCGCGTGGAAACAGTAATTATTGAAGTGGGAAGGAGGAGGAGGGGGGGGGAGGGGGGTTAATGACGGCGTGCTAAACAATCGAAGGGGATAATCGAGTTTCCGAGCTTGAGAAACACTGGTATAGAGCTTGAGAGTGTAATGAAATCGCTCAGCTGTATGGCACACCCAGCTTAATTGATCTGTATCAAAGGGAAGTATGCAAAATCGCTCAACAACATTCATAAGCTGGAGAATCTTCTGAAGTCGCTTTTGTAAAAAACTCGCGTGTTGCTGGGCAAATCTGAGGATATAGCCAGTTTGAAAGTGGTACTACAAACAGCTCTGGAATCTTCCATTTTAGAGATCTTTAAAAACAACTTTAAGAGACATCTCAGCCTCCTTCTTTTATTGTATTCTAAACTCTATTAAAATTATTGGCGTTCATTTCGATAAGTGAAAGTGATCAATTCATTTAATATTGATTACTACACAAAAATATACTCCAGGGTTAGTTACAAATCTTTTTAACGGGCTGTGCGCACAAGCCTTGCTTCTACTGCCTAACCATTTTATGATTCATAATAATTGCAGTGAGAACGTTTTCGGTGGTTAAAATTTGAAATTTTCAAAATGCATTTGCTTCAAATCAGTCAAGAAACCTTATTCTGAAGAGTATATCATTGATAATTACTTATGATAAGATTTCTGTTTCTCAAAAGCTTAATCGAGACTTATAGACACGAGTTTTTTGGATGAAGAAGTGAGTTGAAACTGTTCAGGTGTCATTCACTTGGGAATTACTTTCTGAATGAATTCTTCCGTAATTAGACGAAATGCCTAAGGATAGAAAGAGTATCCTTTTAACGGGCCGTGCGCATAAGCCTTGCTTCTGATGATTATGAACTAATGGATGTGTCCACAAGATGAGACGGATTCATGAAGTCTGACGGAAATTCGAAAAAGATTAATGAAAATTCATCAAAAATGTTTGCTGCTTGCGAAGTCCAATCATTGCTATAAATTTGTTTGAAAGGACAACGAGTGGGCAAATAACGAGAACTGATGAATATGTTGCAAGAAATCCATTAGATATTCCAGTTTATTCAACACGCTAACAAGGGATTTGAAGTTCTTTTTCACTGCCATCACAAATTTTATTGAGTTTTGAAAAGGACACTGGAAGTACTTAAGTGTGTTTTAGAAAGAAGAGAAAGTAGACAAAGGAACAGAGAAAGAGGCTATCGGTTCGGTAGGAACGGTTGTCTGAAATTTTGAAAAAAAAATCAATTAAATGATGGAACGCTCCCCGGGGTAAGTTTCGTTTAGTTGGCTGTGACGATTCATTTCAAAAGTATCTGGTAAAAGAAATGCAATTTAGCCATTGGCGTATACTTAAAATAATGCAGATCAATATTCAAGAGTGATGATCCTTTACAAGGAATAATGCTATCCAGCAAGAAGAATTATTATCAAGCATCATCATACATAACAGAATAGAATACTATCTTTAAAATGTTGTCTCGATGCGATGCACAGCAACAATGGAATCAAAGCGAAAAACCTGCAAAGCAGATGATGTGACGTTGTATCGAAGCGTGAAATTGATGAAGCCCCGGTGTGGACCAAGTTGAGAGGGTTGTATTCTTTGGAGCGTTTGGGGTGATGACAACGCTGGACGAACGGGTACGATTGGACTCGACTGTGAACTGTCAGATGACAAAGGTGAAGGAAGGGAGGAGGGTGAATTCTTAAGACCACCCGGTCCTTTTATATTCGCATATTTAAGTGCAACAGCTGTTTGAGGACGAAGTGGTCCATGAAAAGCTTGTCTGTTTCTTTTGGCGATACACACTGATAGAAATGCTATCGCTAGGATACCAACACCTCCTGCTAAGGAACCGTATAATGCAGCAGCTGGAATATAATATTGCTTCATTATCACTTATTCATATTCGTCAATCTTCAAGACGGAACGGAACTATTATAATTACTATTACGAAATCAGTGAATAGATTTCGCAGTGAACAAATATTGAATGAGAATTAATTAAGTACATATGCGAAATAAATTGAACTTACGATTCGAGAGTGAAACGGTTTGTTGGGGCTGCTTCTGAGCGGGCATCGCATCGTTATGCGAGGCAGTCACTCGGCTGCTGTGTCGCATCGATTGCTGCTACAATCAATTAAGGACCGCCCCGAGGGCTAAAGCATGCTGTTCTCTTTGCAATGACGTCAGTGCTAACGCATGATATCGCATTTATAAGACATTGCATTCACATCCACAACTATGACGCTCTAATACCGTAGATTTCGTTGCTCTTTACCGTGTTCGAGAGAATGCCATTCGACGAAAAGCAATAAGTTTTCTACAAATAGAACATTCACATGAAATATTCTCAACTATTCTCCCAACTTTTCAAACAGTTAATGCGTCATAAGCCATTTTAGAAAATTTTGTAAACAACGCAAAATCTCACCATTTTATAACATGCCTAGTCAATTTTCCCTTACAACGGTTTCAGCAACTGATTCATTAAATTTGTACATAGGAACACGCAAGTTGTCTTGGGCTGATTGAAAGCTACTACTATGTACGTACCAATAGTCCTTCTGAACTACTGAGTATAATTCAACAACAATCATATTTACCAGTGTTTCTTATGACGATGTTTCGAGGATGTTTGCGAAAGAGATGAGAGTATGAAGATTAACAGATCATCGCTGTTTGATTTTTCACCATGTTCCCTTGATCAATGTTTAACAATTTCCTTCAAAGTGTATATTTAACCGCAAGAAATTGATTCCATTGATATCTCGACAAGAAAGTTGCTGTTTATTGGATCAGTTTTTTGATTTTCCTCTGATCTGTGATAGATTGCTAGATAAGAAAGAGAATTGCGGGTTTTTGAAGTGGTGAATGAAGGTCTACCGTACGACGTTAACTGGAAACGAAGTGTAGTGAGAACCACTAATTGATAGGTCTTACTCCTATTAAGGCATACAATCAAGACAAACAATAAATTGCTTCTTAATATTCCCCTTCTGAAGCAAAAGCGTAGATATCACAGGTGCAATCGATTTGTGTGCTTATTATATCATGAATCTTGTCTGTCATCTCACCAATTTTGTTCTGCAGAATTCAGAGTAACATCGCGATACTGAGGACTTCTTACATTGTGACCAATTGCAACTTTAATAATATTCTGCTGCACATCAATACCGACTCTCAGTTAAGTATAAAACAACTAAAACTGTTAGTATTAGGCCATTCGTTCTTTAATGTCAGGAGTCAGGCGATTCTGTGGATACTGCATACGTTCTCTCACCTTCCCAATACTGAATTTCAACATTTCGAAATGTAAGAGGGAGTGAAAGGACTGGAATTTGGATGATGCTCACCTCAAACGCAATCAGTTCCAGTGAAAATTGAGTTAAACGCTTCGAACACTTGCCGAGTGAATCTATTTTGCAGTTTTACTTATTTTTTAAGCTCTTACTGGCATCATGGATAGAATTTTATGTGCTTAACTTCTTAAGAGCATTGTTCGTCTCAATGAACTTTGTTTTCAATAGCGATAAAGAAGCAACTTTTGTGATTTTAGCGGAGAAATTGAACCGTCGAGATGGGTTCATTGAAATTTTGACAGCGTTCCAAAAATCAGACATATGATAAAAAATATACGACGTGTCGAGACCTAACGGAAATCAGTGGGGTGTAATTTAGCCTCATCTGTTTGAGTCATGCTTGGGCTTATGCTCAGGCATGCTCTGAGACTCATGCACTTGGTCTTGAGCTCAGGATAAGACTGGCACTTGAGCCGGGTGATTTTTGCAATTGATGCGCTTGTTTGCTTTTGAGACGATAGGTCTGCATTACCGTTGATAAGTGTTTAACTCTCTACTAATGTAGTGCAGTTGAATATGCAACTGGATTACATTTGTGGATGGAAATTATTTAAGCTCACATGTTATGTCTCTCTTGTTCGTACTAAAATTGCGATGTTCGATTTTTGAAGGTTACATCACAGGTGTTCGCCTATTGGCAGACACTTGAGCAGTTTCTTGTAATGCGGGTTTTTCATTGCTGTTTCTTGTTGCATACGCCATCGTTCATCAACGATTAGAGAGTTACTATGACAGTTTAGTGTGCTAATGACTTCTGTACTGATTTTTTTTTGAGAAACTGTTTTATTGTTTTCTTAATTTTGAATAATTGTTTGTTAAACATTCATTCGACGGTCTGGTTTAGTGACATAATCTGTGAAGGTTTGTGATGAAACATGTCTGATTTTTATGATGTGCTGTACAGAACTGGTTTATTCAAGAACGTCAGATGATGAGTAATTCTCATCATTTCTATCATTTGACATGCTTTTGATATTTCACTTTAAAGTTCTGATAATATTATGTATTTTTTGGACTGCTTTTTTTCTCCATACTATCTTTGTCAAATTAAAAAACATTATAATTTCAAATATGAAACTGTGGGTAAGGAACCTAATAACAAGAGGAGCGTTTGGTGACCTAATGTATGTGAATCGCTGCTCAATAATTACCTCGTTGAGTGTTGACTGTTGAATGCAATTAATTCGAGAAGTTTGATGGAGGCCTGTCGTCAAAAGAAACGCAATAGATGCACCATTTAGTCACGACTGTGGAAAAGTCGGGACTGGGCCGTCGGGCTAGGCCAAAGATCACCGGATCAGACCAAGAAATCCCGGGCCAAAGCAGAAATACAAATGAGCGCATTGTTGAAATGTCGAGCCAGTAAAGAAGAATCCGTGTAAAGACAACTTGTACGCATTGGGATAAAATTTCTCATTGCAGAAGTGGTTTTCTGAAAATGGGAGGGCTGGAGGAGTGAGTATAACTGATTTTTGACCACCTTAATGAGGGAGCGAGATTCTTTAGTCTTCGTGCTTGGATGTTGTGGAGATTGCTGTCGAGGGCTTCTGCTCATTTGAGATTTTCTTGAATATAAAGATGTAGATATTGTTCACGTTCAACTGATATCCATTCAAGTGAAGCAAAAAACCATTACCGTCATCTTCTGCGATATTTCTTTGCTTTCTCGGTTCCATCGAACACTGTTCCCGGTTAATTGCGTATGATTTCATTCATTACGACGATTGAAGTTGTATCAGATTCAACTGGATTTACGTCTTCTTTCAATGTTTCAGAGAGGCGGCGAGGTCGAGAAGGGCGCAGTAACAAGATGTCAGCTTCGGTTGTGACGTTTAAGTCTCCACAGTCGGCAAAATATTCCACATCAGACCAATCAGCGCTTCCTACAGCTTCAGGTGGTGGTTGTTATCCTGCATTTGTTATAGTATCAAAATATCTCCTCTGCAATTTGTCCACCTTTCAGAGTCGTATTTTCAAACTGTTGACCACATATACACATTCGGAGTTGTCGATTTATTCAGTTGATTGTGACCTCAGAAAACAATAATAGAGTGCCATACGATGCGCACTTGTGAAAACTAATCTGGGCAGACAATTCGCAAATTTGTCATGTTACTGACAGTTAGTATTGAAATTTGTGTGAAGAATGTTGAAGGGTTGTTCCAGGAGGTGAAGAATGGCGAGCGCAGGAAGAATTCGAAAAGCAAAAGCTCGGCCATCGAAGAATTGATCGTCAGGGCGAGGTTTTTCATTTTCACGTTAACGATACGTCTTCTTAGAAAAATGAGTATGTGCAATCAATTACAGACCTAAATTAGAGTTGACTATTAAAAAGTTATCTGAATCGTACTATGTTAAGAGTCAAAAGTTATGTTAAGAGTCAAAAGAAAGGCTTCCTCACGGATGTACAACAAAGAATGCCTTTTTATAGAATAGACTGAAATGAGATATTTAATGTATATTGTAGGTGAGCTACAAGCGTGTTCCAACAAATGCATTGATGGGCGCGATTCAACTGGGAATCGCCAATTCCATCGGCTCACTGGCCTCAAAACCGAAGAGGGATTTACTGCTACAGGATTTTGACGTCATCGAGACCGTCTCGTTCCCTCCGTTCGTTTTATTTTTTTCATACCTAATGTTCATATCCATATTTTTGTCATGTTTTTTCAAATTTTCATTTTTCAACGCATTTTGTTGTGGCAAATAATGGACTGAACAAATCAATGCTTAGTGATAATTACATGTTTTATCCGTATACTGAACAATTGAAATTGTAGAAGTGGCTCGCAGTTAACACCATCACATGGCTACGGCGATTTTCGTTTCCAAACATATGCGCCGATAGCATTTCGCACATTTCGAGATCTCTTTTCCATCAAGGCTGCCGACTTTTTGGTTAGTTAATTGGACGCGTCGATTCGGCAACTAATTTTCTGAATTAATTCGCCGTTGTGAACTATCCATCCCATCATCAATCACATTTCTGATTCATCTGCTGAAAAAGTTTCATAACTCATTCCGATTCCAGCGAATTACCACTATGGAAATTCTCTGAAGTGATAAACTGGGTAAAACAAAAATGTGCTAAACAAAAGTGGTGTGATGAAAATTTTTCTTCTAACGCTATTTGATCATTTGACAGTTGCGGAGCTGTTTGACGTAGTATCTTATATGTTTGCGTGAAGAATTTTCTTTTCGTAGCATGAAATTGCTCGAAGAATATATGCAAAGAGAATCATGTATGTGCCAAAATATTTAATTGATGAATTGAAGCGTTCGATTTGCACCGAACCACTAAAGGAACTATCGAATGCGGGCGCTTCAGGGTCAATTTTTTACGTTTCATCCGACGACCAGTTCATCATCAAAACAGTACAACACAAGGAAGCTGAATTCCTTCAGAAACTTCTGCCGGGTTACTACATGGTTGCTTATTCAGTGCTCATAGTTTCTTGTTTTTATTTGAATACGTTCTTTGCACACTCTGAAGATCAAAACATTCAATGCAAAGTGTACTGTTATTCGAATGTAGCAGTTAATCGAACAACTTTTGATTATGATCGTGAAGCACTTAACGAATTTGACGATACTGCCAATTAGTCATACCATTTCGTTAGATATTCATGCGTTCAACGCTCGAATGAGAAAAATTTCGCATCAGGCCAGCAATTTCTCCGAGTGTGAATTGCACCTGTGGCTTCATCATACACCTCATGCTTTAACAATATTAGCGAATCGTTCTTGAAGTGAGTGCAGGAATCCGTGAACTTCGTGTCAAATGAATTTTCATTTTGCATAAACAATTAGCTGAATTAACCATACAACGTCTAATCTATCATTCGACTCCAAATAGGTGATTATGAAGTTTAGGTGAACGCATGTTGCTCTACAGAAATTGAAACTTTTTGCAGAATTTCAATCAGAATCCTCGAACGTTACTGCCGAAATTTTTTGGATTGTTCTGCTATCAGGTTTGTATAGTTTCCAAAAATTGTTGATTTACTGATGAATGTTGGGGGTTCACCGAAGCATTCAAAATTATCTTTGTTCGGAGAGATATCATCAAGGGCAGTTTGAAGTTGTATATAGCGATATTCGTCAATTTTTAGGGGCTGCTCATTATCAGTTTCATTTTTTTTGGCAAGCAGATTACTTTTTTAAAATTTTCAGAGTTTGGGTAAAAACATCCGGCTACTTGTGATGAATAATTTATTACCGCAGTCGATAAAAATGCACGAGAAGTATGATCTGAAAGGATCCACATACAAGCGATTGGCATCCAAACACGAACGAGCCAAATCTTCACCAACTCTTAAAGATCTCGACTTTGTATCCGAACATCCCGATGGTATCTTGTTGGACAGTACCGCATATGATGCTCTCATCAAAACAATCAGTCGCGATTGTTTGGTTATTTTTATTGATTGAATTCATTTATGGTTTGAGTACGCGAAGCTGTCCCATTTGTAATGATCGTTTCGTTATGCGACGTCCCTACAAACATAATCTTATTTATGGAAGGAAGTTCATGTAGAGTTGTATACATTCAGGTACTGGAGAGCTTCAAGATAATGGACTTCAGCTTGTTGATAGGCATTCATAACCTTGATCTGGCGGATGGTACTAACGCTGACGAGGATGGTGATGGTGGAGAACCGTCAACTTCAGCACAGGTCAGCTGCTCTTTAAGCTAGCCTGATAACTACCAACTGAGATTATTTGTGTTCATAGAATTGTCATTCGCGATACTGCATGTTAACACTTGTATTTCAGAAAAGCAAGAAGATATTGCGATTAAAAAGTAAATTCTGGGAATCAGATAGTGGACGATTACCACCGTAAGTTTGAAGAAGTTTCGTATTCATGAGACATACATTAAGATGCACGTCAAAAAGACGCTTATTCCTTTGACATTTCAAGTGTGTGTTTGCATGTTGTACTGACATAGCAGCACATATTTCAAAGAGCTTTAATTTCAACTTTTTTTGCATTTGTTTATCTACGATTGCATCGTAGCAAAATGTTTAGATTGCTTAAAATTGTTCTCTGACAAGTTGTTTTCCACCAGAAGAATTGTCGATTCGTAGTTGAAGTTTTGTTTCAGTGTGACTTTTAAAAGAATTAACTTTCAATTTGTGCTTTCAGAGAAGGAGTGTTTCCGGCACGCAATCAGAAGGGCGAAAACCTTCTGCTCTTTCTTGGTATCATTGATATTTTACAGAACTATAGGCTTCTCAAAAAATTGGAACACACATGGAAAAGTGTCTTACATGATGGGGTTAGCTAATTAGTCAGTTTTATTATGGAAGTTTTATTGAATGATTTTCTGTTGTTTTTTTTTGCTCAGTCGAACGTTTTATGAACTTTTCTTACGAGATGCATCTTATTCATGCTGTTAATGTTTATGTGATATGAGTAATACGGCTCGGCGGTCGTTGAATGGATTTATTCAAATTTGCAGGATTCAATAAGCGTGCACAATCCGACGTTCTATGCGCAACGATTCCTCGAATTTCTGAAAACACAGGTGTTTCGCGCATCTTCTGGTAAGTTGTTTTACTGTGCTTGGCTACGGGAGTTGCAAAGCGGTCGTAAGACTTAACGATGGGCTCATTTTGCTTTATTTTCTGATAGAGGCATTTGATCTTGAAGTGGATAGTGCCTTGGACGGATGGTGATTCATTGAATCTTCTATTGAGTCATGATTAATGTACTCAAAAAATGTGTTTCGAATGATTTCATTCAGTTAGTTTGACCACACTGTGTACATTCCAAAACAGTAAATCAGAATGATGAAAAACAAAAGAATTCCAATGAATTGCCTTTTTGTTATTTGGAAACTATTAAAAATGGTTTTTGGTTTGTGCTGAAACATTGGATTCGGATAATCTTTTTGGTCGACTTTTCTCCATTAAAGTTTCAGAAAGGGACGAAAATTCTGCGAATAGTTAATAAACTGATTGACTTATTGTTCATTAGATTAAATTGATCAATTCTCGTTTGCTCCATTGCTGACGATTACTTTTCAGTTGCTGAAATTTGTTGCCTTTTTTATGGGCTTTTTGAAATATTTATTTGATGATAGTTTTCGTATTTATCGTGGTTGAAGAAGGGTTAGAAAAATAAAAGCTCTGATGCGTTCATGATTTGATAATTATTTGCAATTGTTAATAATTGCTACGACACACTGCATGATGTGGATTTATCCATAAAATGCATGTAATCTTTTCCGTACGAAGCGACGGTCTCTTTCAGAGCCAATTTATTCAAGTTGGAAAACTTCGAACCACTCCGTGTACAGTTAAATTCTGGTGCTCTTAACTTGTTTAAGATTTTTGTCTTACAATTAACATCTTTTTATTTTTCCATATTAAAAGTATTTTCAAGTAAAAATTTAAAAAAAGAATTAAGGAGCTTCATTTTATTGCCACATATAGGTTTAGTTTTTCTTCTTGTTTTTACCCAATATATGTATCGATTACGTTTTTAATCCTTCTGTGGTAATATTGCTTCTGGCTATGCTTTATTTTTTTCACATTCGAAATTTTTCACCTACTTAAATTCTGTTATTAAACAGTATTGGTGCGTAGTGGAAGCATGCGCTTACCTGTTCCGTATATACTCAAATGCACTCAAATCCAAAAATATCAACAAATACTGTAGCTTTATCAAGTAGTAAATTGTTATCAAATAATCAAAATCATCTAATTCTCATGTAAACGTCGTGAAGATTTTAAACTTTCATTCTTCGTGAAAATCGTTGTTTATTGTTCGTTCTTTTTTAAAATAAGTTTTTGATTCGCTCGTTTTTCTGATTATCTTTGTGCGTATCATCCATAGTTGCACTCTTCACTTTTGCTTGCTTGTATTCTTCGCAACGTATCGGGAAAAGTAATTCGCTGTATGGACAGGCAATCATTTTATAGCACTTTGAAAGTTTTCATTGTCCAGTTCCTGCGTAGATGGAATTTTTTTGCACAGATTCATTTTCTTGATAAACATTCGTTTCGTTATTTATTTATTCTGGTTTTTTCATTTCCTTTTTTTCACCATCGCATCACAGTTGTGGTCATTGAAATTCAATAAGTGAGAAATTCAGTCTGGGCGATAGCCTGGTCTCTTTGTTCAAAAAGAAAAATACTGACTTATGTCTGACTCAAGATTATCGGACAGTGGACGCCTTCTTTTCTTTTCCTTGTTATAATCATTCGCATTGGGATCTTCTGCCCTATTTATTTATTTCTTCTTTTACCCAACATTTGCAGTAGAATTTAGTAGTATGTGCAGGAGTCCGTCCATGCGACGGCGTTTCAATTGTGCTTCGTAATATTGAACATAATTCTACAGCCGTTACTTTCCTGTTTTAAACTTTTTGAAGTTTCTTTCATGTTGTATTTTCGGATCATTCTTTGTTTGTTTCATCTCGTTTCCTCATCCGACTCCTTTGGTGCTCTGTTCCGATGATAGTTTTGCACTGCAGTGACCCTTGTGATACCTTGCAATACCTCACTTATTCGTGCTTTCAAGCACCTCGAACTTTACCTTCTGTCGTTCGATGAGCCAGTAGATAAATATGTGTGTCAAATGAATGAAGCGAGGTTTCCAAAAATAATGCAGATTAGAAAGAAATTGGGTAAAGCCAATGAAGAGTAGTTTGTATGTGTCCTACTATATGAATTTGAATGATATTGTTTGCAGCGGAGACTCAATTTGCAGGAGGTCATTCGAAATTCAGATCATTCGTCCATTCATATATCGGTACAGTTCAATTCATCAACTCATCTTTGCTGTTTTTTGGTGTCGTGTATGTGTGTAGTTTATAGTTTTCCTTAGAAGTTTTACTTGTCGAGGAGATTTTTCAATTCAAGTTTTATTTTCGGTGAATTTAGAGTGTTGGCATCCAAGAGAACAAAATATGAGTGGCATGGTCTTCAAAAGACAAACAAATTTTAACTTAAACCTAGTAAATTGAGCATGCATCTTACAAAAGAGTTGTTGATTAGGTTGAAACCAGCCAGGTTTCTAGAGCTCCAGTAGAGCTTAAGTCTACTTCATCTTGTACACTTATCACCCAATTTATTCGCTTTACAGTTCATAAAATATTGCCCATAAAGATGTACAATGAAAACGCTGTTGATAAATTGCGTTCACGTTTGATTTTTGTTGTGAATTGGATGATAATCTCATCACTATATTTGTCTGCATGTATCTAAATTAGATTGTCAAACAAGTTCTATTAGTGAAACTGCTCATCAACTTGAATCGTATTCATTTCCGATTTCCCACCGAAGTTCTGTTGGTCCAATCCTCTCTCTCATCAAAACATAAATGGTGTCAGTTCTTTTGGAAATAGGTTGTGGTTGTAGTAGTGAAGGAATGTTTGAAAAGTAGACTCATTGTTGTGATCAGTTATTATTTTATGGTTACTGCTATTATTAATATTAGTGATATTATTATCATTATAATTTTTATTATTATTGATTGTTATTATTATTATTATTATTATTACTGTTATGATTATTATTATTACTACTATTATTATTATTGTTTTTGCCTGCGATATAACCTCTATGATATAAGTTCCCAATCATAAGTTAATTTCGTTCGCCAGGGTGTAGATAGATGCGAACTCACGTCCATCAGACATATGAACAGTCAAACTCTTTCAAGCCAGTTTTGTGAGCGTAATTCCACAAAGATAGTTTTCAGACCAAAAGGCGTATTTTTCTGAGCTTAACACTGCACTTTTCAGTTTCTTTTTTTTTTCATACAAAAATTTCTCACCCGAATGTAGCTGGGAAAATGAATATGGAAACTATTATCATTAGTGTTATGGACCTCATATGACAGTGGGTCAAGGTGGTTTCGGAAAGAAAGATAAACTGTACTGATTGTTGCAAAATTATGATAAAATCGGATAGTTTGAATTGGCATAAAAGTGCGATGCAGTTGTCATTATAAACAATGTGTTAGAGCACGTTTCCTCACTGAAAGCGATTTGAAGCTGAAGAAAAAGCATTTCATAATTGAAATGAAGCAAGAAGTTTGAATGTGAAAGCATCTGTCTCGTGGAAGCTGAATACATCAGAGCGTTTTGTATTCGGTTATGTTTGTTGTAGTTGTAATTGTAATGCTGTTAACGATACACTCACTGGAATTGTTTGTAGCGTTACGACAGAGTCCTTCGAAGCGTCGCACAGCACGGCGAAGCGTAACAGAGAAAGAAGAACCTGAAACGAGCAATCCAGTTGTACCGGCTGCATCAAGCCGGCCTGAACTCGTTACCATCCCAGCTTCTCGAGGACCACCTCGAAGATCGTATAATCGTCAAGATACTGCTGCTGAGTTTGTTTTGCGTATCAATTAATGAGAAGCTTGAAAATTAATGCATACATCATTGTTTTTTTTATTCGATTCTCGAACATTGAAAAAATCTTCTCGGTTTGTTTGAGATGTAGGAGTTATAAAATTTCAGTTTCAATCGTCCTCGAGAGAAAAAGGTGGAACGTTTATTTGCACCAGATCCAGAACTAGTGGAAGTGGAGCCATCGAGTTCACTGGAAGAAACCGTTGTGGGTACCTCACAGATTGAAGTTTCTTTTACTTCTCCATCTTCGTAAAAAGAAATGCGCTGTTGATCATCATCAGATTCGCACATCGATCTTTGAGTGATGGAGATTTCACAGGCTACTGCTCCATGAATTAGCATAATATTCTGGTTCTACGGGTAGTGCTCTTTTTCGACCATTTTCTTGTATTTGAATTCGGTACCGACCTCGTTTGCCTCCAAAATCAGTCTTAATCATATTTAGATGAGAATATATCACTTTTGAGTATCATTCGAAAAACAATGGCTATTCTGTGTTGGTAAAATTGGTGTTTCTTTTCTTCTATCGGCAGTTTTGCAATTGGCTCCGACCGTTCGTAAATTAACAGCGAATTGTTATTTTGAGAGGACAGTTGCAATACTAAGTGCGTAGTAAGGCGAATATATCATTGCGAGCATATTCGGTCTTATCGCCTCGCTTGAAGTTACTCCATTGAATACCATATGGACTGAAGTGCATGCTTCTGAAAATTTTGACCCTAAAAGCCGTTCTCGAACTTAGCTTATTTGAGTGGAAAGATGTTTCGTTTGCTTTCAAAACACTCGCAGAGCATTCATCGGAGGTAAAATCCAGTGAACACTACCTGTTTATGTCAGCCGTATTCGTTTATCGCTGTCTGTGAACAGTATTTGGTTCAGTAGTATTCGATACTCTTATTCTCTATTCCCTCTCATTCATTTTATGACTAAAAGAATTTGAACTACATTTCATTCTTCAGTATTATCAATATTTGTTGATAGATTGAACCAGTAACGTCAACTGTATCGTAATTATTCCTGTATGGGCTTATTTTATACTTTTTCATTCCTAGACTAGATGTTGATCAGGTTGAGTAGGCATCTCGTATCATTTCATTAGTATCATCATTAGTAGTGGATGATGCGAAACTAATGTATTATTTACAATTCTACAAAGTATATTTTTTCTTCAAAATGAACGTCTCTCAGATATACTCCTTCATTTACAACCTTTCTCATCAATCGGTTTCTGCACAATTTCTAAACGTGTTTTCCACTTAGAAATTTTCTGTTTTTGTTCATTTGCTTTCTTCATTTTTTTCCTTTTGTATTTAAATTTCTGCTTTTATTTCCACAGGTTTCTGTTCATTAGAGACAATAAGAATGCTTTTAAAAATCTATTTTACAACTTTCACATCACACAACGAATACAAAATTCAAACTCTGTCTCTAAAACTGCCATTATATAAAGCAGTATCATCGTAATTTGTAATTAATATAGTCAGCTACTCTCCAATAAAACACCTTCCAATTTTCGTTAGTTCAAATTCGTTGAAGTTGCATAACTTCTTCACTTTTCATCATTATTTGTGGAGTTCGTCTTTAATTGAGTTTCATAAGCAACAATAAATTTTATTTTTTGTAACCTATTCATGATTTCTTCCATACATCGCATTTGTTTATCCCTGACCAATTCCAGTTACTAACCTTGCCTAATCTCCTCGATTATTTCGCTTCTTTCCTGCTTCTCATAGTAGTTCATATGTAGTGCATATCAGTGATGATTTATTCAGTTCTTGTTTTAATTTTCATTTAATTTTCGATAATCGATTTTTCGTGATATGCGATATTAGTTTTCTGAATCATTGCGATGTCACCCATTATCTTTTCCTTTTTTGAAGCAGAATGACAGCAATTTTGCGTTGATTTTTCACGGATTCAGTTTATTTTGTTACTTTAATAAATCTTGCGATGTGCCATGAAAATTCATCTAGGTGGAAGGAATATTGTTCTGTTTTGCTTGTTAAGAATGCGCTCTGATATCGCTTGGAAGTACTTCTTGAAAGTGAATTGAAAAATGCCACCAATTCAAACGCAAAATGCATTTACATCCATTTTATCTCAAAAAAAAGAAGAAAGGAGCGAAATTGTGAATTCTTGATGATTTTTCCATGTATATATGTTGAAAAGCAAGGAGATTGAAGCAGGCAAGCACGAAATAGGTTGTTCCCAGCCGGACGTGGTTTCATAAAACAAGTTGGTGAATGAAAAAAGAAAATATGAATTTAATCGAGCATAATTGGGTAGGAAAACAATTGTTGGATTGCATTTATGTTGCTTTTGTGTGATGAGCATGGCGTTTTGTTGATTTCAGACGCATCTCTAAATAGTGCTGTACATTGTCGTTCACAGTTGATTGCAAGTGGCGTGCTGATGGTGAGAATAAGATTATAATGTTCGTTTCGAACAATGAAACAACAAGCCAACATATGTATTCTCTCAACTACCTGAAATCTATATTCGCCCATTTTCATTTGTGCATCCAATCAACGTTATTTATGATAGCAGTTATGGAAGTCTCGTTTATTTGAATTCGATATAAATGCAATAGAGCGACTTGAATATTGTTTTGTGATTGTTGTTGCTTGTACAGGATGTTTTTTTAAATGTATGACTACAGTTCCGTTGGTGACGAAAGCTGTTATCGAAGGACGGCCAGTTTGAATGTGAATTGGATGAATCATATGGATTATATAGAGGAGAACATTTATGAAACTAGCTGCAACGAACGCATCATTCACAAAAAACACATACCACTTTCACTAACACATCACACCCACATACCAACATTTTTTGTTGCTTACATTCTTTTCGTTTTCCTTTCTCATCATCTCCTCTCACTTCAATCCGGTAATGGTGAATAGCTTTACGTTGCGAACTGGTTTGTTCCTATGCGCTTTCTCGTGAGCATTTTATGTTTTCTACTGTTGAAAGGTAAGTAATCGCAATTAGTGCTTCTAATTATGAATTGATAAATTGTGTTCTGCATATCCATTTGAGATAGCATTATGTGAGACTTCCTTTCATAAGATTGATGCTTCCAAAAACAGAGTTTTGATCGAATTGGAAGTCTTTGTTCTCGTAAAAAAACTGTTGTTTGATTGTGATTGGGTTGCTATGAGATAGGTATTTGTTTGATTAAAGATCTTTTGCTGCAATTCAATCGCCCTAGCTGCAATTCTCATTTCCGTTGATTTTGAGAGCTTTCTTTAGTCGGTCTGATCCACATTCATCATTCTTGCCGTTATGATAGCGCGAAAATGATTCCATTGATTTGTTGCTATCTATGTCTATGGTTCTTTTTTTTTCAGCGAAGGTCGGGAAATTTCTTCCGAAGTTTACGTCGATCTCCTCACAGAAACAAATAGAAACACAATATCTATACTGAGTTGACATTGCTGTCATTTACTGTAATGCTGCTTGGAATGGGTATCTTTATGTAAGTGGGTACTGTTGTTGTTTCGGTGCTGATGCATAATAATTTTGAAATGTTTCGTCATTTGAAAGAAATTAATTGCATTATAAACGTTTACTTATCGCTGTTATATAATTTTTTATTAAGTAATTATTTACGATTAATTTTGTAGATTATTTCTTTGTTTATGCTTTCAGATTGACATATTCATCTTGTTGTATGAAATATTCCAAAAATGTTTAAGATTGATTCATTTGGCACTTAAGAGATTGACTGAATTTGATCATTATCAAACAAGGTGAAGTGGATTGAGTTTGTTTCGATTAACAGATAGTGAAGGCATGAACCTGAACATCGGCTTCATGATGAAGTGAATTTAGTTTCAAGCTGAGCAACTTTATTTTCATTTGTGCCAAGGTTCTTCCTCTTCGAATCTTTCAACATTGTTCAATGTTATGGTTTCGTTTATTTGTTTTGCTCCGTTTTTAGTGTTATATGGAATTTTGAAATAGATTGTTCCTTGATGATGAATAATTGTTCCAATTCTTTCTGTATGTTTACCAAATATTGTTATGGTAATTTTGTAATCATAGTCGTTTTTTGTTCATTAATCTAAATTCTATATTTTACGTTTCTGTTGCACCTTTTCCTTCATTTCAATGGGCTGTAATCTCCAAAACGTACATATGCATTCAGATCCGTCAGAATTGAACCACATGCAGTTATTCTATGATTATGACAAATTTACATTCACAACGGTATGGCAGAAATTAAAAAATTTGGTGGCCTAATCAGTTGATGTTTTTGTTTCAAAAAGCAATCGTCAAATGAAATTAATGAAACAGATTTTCACTCGATATTTATTTTAATCATAAGGAACGTGGAATGGTTCACGTCATTTGATAGTTTTTCTGTAATTGAGTGAATGTGAATCGTATCATGACATGTGTTATTAAATGTTGGATGAAAAAACCAGTTTCATGGCTTATGAATTAGCATGTTTTACTGATGTCTCTGTCACTCGTCTATGCATTAGAGTAATGCTTTGTTTGTCGTCATTCTTTATGTTCCGAATGCGTAAAATGCTATAAATTTGTCCATCATAAAACTTCGAAAGAAGCCTATCAATAATCAATTGATTTATAATGGAGTTTATCGATTATTCAAGGAGACTTATTGTGAAAATAATCGGCTAAAATGCATCACTTCACAGTATCAACTTGTAACGACGTTTTCACAAAATGAATTCTTCGAATCGAATCCAATTGAATTTTTGATTATTTGAAACCCACCTGAAATGTGTCATTATATAAGATTTCATAACTGGATGACCATTGCGAGGTCATATAATGTAGTGAATATGTGTTTACATTTGTTAACTAATCAGTTTATTTACTTCTTTCCCGAGTTGAACATCCTCAACTGATTTTTTAAAAATTTATATTTTCTTATTCTAGGCAATTTGAATGCATATATCAACCGCACAGTGTTATTTTCGTTTCATAGAGAGGAGCTGAAACAATCTTACATTATAACAATTCTTTAATATACTCGTTTCAATATCCATTCGCACACTTTTCTTTTATTGTTATGTATAGCCGCTTCCTCATCCCAACGTAATGAATTCATTTTTTAACAGAGCTATGTTTTATGAAAACACTGACTGAAATGTTCACTGATTGATACAAGATTAACTCAGTTTTAGAACGCAACTAATATACATGTAATGAACAAGTGGGGCAGTTGCAGTCGCACCAAGTCTATTTAAGGTGTAATAACTCTTTAGAGTTATTACATCTTAAATTACTGCAACTGCCCTCCTTGTTCATTGTCAGATTCAGATACCAATGAAACCGAATTATTAGTCGAATTCAGATGGTCTCTGGAAATCATACTCCCAGAATCTCCATCAAAATTCAGTTTTTGCTTGCAAAATGCCATTATGTAGCAAATTCAGTTCACAATCACATTTACATTGTCTTTTATCTGAAGAACAAGTAACAAAAAAGAAGAAGTAACATCAACGTGAAAATGGTCTCAGACGGAAAGGTATGAGTCGACCGTTGCATAGAAAACATCAGTGAAAGCGAATTCAAATTTGCCAACTTCTTGACTATTTTGTTATAGAACAGCCATAGCCTCTCCTATTTGGTAGCGTTCAGTTCCCTGTACCAGTACACTGTATGTTGCTTGTTCACAAAGCATTATGAGCCACTTCAGAAAATGAGTAACTTTTAGCTAACAGAAGTTATACTAGAAGCTGTATGGAGAAGGGCTTGGTTCAACGTTAAAATTCAGTTGAGTATAAAATGCGAACTAGTATCAGTTTCAGCGAATTTATCATTGAAAAGCATTCGCTTCCAGTGATAATATTGTGAAACATATGGAAGATGAGATGAAGCAATAAATAAAAAAAGTCATAAAATGCAAACTGAAAATATGAGGTGATATCAACTGATGAAGAAGTTGTTGACATTGCAATTACACAGCCTGAAGATAACGGTAATTGCACTGTGTTCATATTTGAAAGAACGATCAACCAGTATGAATGTTGTTCGAAGAAAACATTTAAACAAATAAAGACACACTCAACAAACCAAAACTTATGATTAAGTGATCGAGAGGAACTTCGAAAATTTCCATGGTAGAATTAAGCATCAGTTTGATTAAACCACTGCAATTCCTACCGCGACCACGCATTAGTATCGATCGACTAGAGCAGCACAAAACTTAATTCAACGAGCTGATTGAAAACTGTTTTACGGGACAACAAATGCAATGCTAGCTGATTTAAAGCAGTGATCTTTGTAAAGGCTGAATTACGGTCCATGTTTAATTAAGTTTCAACTTCATTTAATTTCATGATCTCAGATGACAACGGTACTCAATGCTAACGTGTAATGCGAGTGTGAAGTGTGATTCTATTGAACACCCTCATGAATATCTTCAGGAACAAAAAAAGATCAACGAACACTGCAACTATCGTAAGCATTAAAAATGGTGAACTAATTGTTATACAATAGGTTTTCGAGGATATATAAAAACATAAAATCGCGTATGTCATCTATCCAGAAGTTATAATGAGTTGAGAAGATTACCGCAAGCTTCAAGAACTTATTGCATGCTAATAATTCAGATGCATAACCTTTTCGTATCCAATGCATATCCTCAATCATGCAAGTGATAAAATTTGAATCTCTTAATTGTTTCAAAGAGTGCTCTGTCTTCGGTAAAAGTGGAACCAGTAATGCACAACTGATAGGCTTGTTGTACTGAATAATTGAACAAACAACGCACGGAAAAGAAATGCTCCTTTCTTTGCATCTCGACGATACAGATTACACCGTCAGCAGAATTTTAAGTTAAGATGCCTTCGGGGATTTGAAATTATTACCGAAAATCACAGTGAATTATCTGCTCCAAATAACCAAAAATGAAAAAAGATGGGTATGTATTAATGCTGAATAGGCAGCTAACATGAATAAAGAAATAAAACGATGTTTAACATCATGAATAAAAGCATTTTAACTAACCAATTAACCGTAAATATGAAATTTTATCAGATAATTACAAAACGAACCTATACGTATACCCAGAAAAGTTTTACCCAAAATCCTTATAATTAAATAAGGAACGATTGAAAAACAATCAACAATAAGAAATTCGAACAGACAAACGAACAAACACAGAAGGAGACAAAACACATCATATAATAGCACGAAACATAATGAAACAATTTTCTGTCGTACTATTCAAAGAAAAAACTTGGAAAATATCACAATTAAGAAAGAAAAAATAAGTGAAGAATAATGGAATCAATGAGCACATTCTGATTAATGAGAATAACTTAACAATTCATAAGGAACGAGAATAAATTTAGACAAACTGACTGAAGCCCAGTAAATGAAGTTATAAATCAAATTTAAAATCAACTCGTCAGACGAGAGGAATGATTGATCGTTTACAAAATCAACTACAAAGATACAGTTATGATACACAGTGAAGAAATATTGTATGATTCGAGTTCCATACTGCAGTCACAATGAATTTTTTAATCATTGTCGAATGAAACTGCATCGGATCACTATTGAGAAGCGTGGTTAAATCAGAGATAGGCTATACCGAGAAGTGAGATATGCATGATTAGTGGTATTGTCTTTGACTGAGACACCAGTGGAGTGGGAATCGTTGCTAATGCACGCATTCATAGGTACTGCAAGTAAAAACGTTTGAAATGCAAATGATGGAAATGGAGAATAACTACTGACAGTAATAGGATATAATACAATATTTCTTGAGCATGATATGTTGTAACTGAAGTATATGTTCAAAACCGAGAGACAGACAATAAAGTACTCATTTGGTTGCAATCACGTCATCTGGTTCGAATTCAGATTCTTCTTCTGAACTGGATTCATTGAGCGTCAATGAACTTTGCGCCGGTAATGGAGTATAACTGAATTAGAGAATTTCACATTAATCGACGTTTGCATTCATATTCAAATGAATCTCTTTCTACTTCTTTTGGCAGTAATCAGAGTGAAATGTGATATTTGGGTTTAGGCTTAGGTTTAGGCTCATGTAGGAGAACAGGTATGTATGAAACAAATAGATAGTGAGCGTTATAGCCCAAGCCTAAACCGAAATGTAATCGATCAAGTTGATTATCGCCATTCGTTTCCTTTCCAAAGAAGGAATCTAAATTGTGCAAACCGTATCCATGACTCTCTCACGAAAGAATGCCAACTAAAACAAAAAGCAATGCTAACTGTTAAAAAATGCATAAACAGAACAATACTAAGTACTAACTCGATGTTACTTCTGGATGATGAATTCCACATTCCGTTTGCATATGTCTTGAGAATAACGCCAAACGCACAACAGAGTACCAATAACACAACCACGAAAATGTAAAATGATCCTAATCCACCAGAGCGATGCCTCATCTGAGCTCGTTGACTTGCACTCAATGTGCAGTCCTCTCAAAATGGTTAAATTCTTCTCTTCGCTACACAACAAAAGCGATTTGCTTATGCATGTACACATTCGACGATCAATACAAGCTGCTTCAGGATAAGAGACTTCCATCAATCAACAACAAACAACGAAACAAACCACAATGATGTTCCATTGGACTCTGCTTGTCCGTACAACATGGTCTGCAATATCCCACTGAGAAATTGCTGTAATTTGGGGCGCACGAGTCACACTGCAGTGGTCCTGGACCATGACACGTTGTACAAGCATCATCACAGTTCGTACAAACCGAATTTTGTGACTCATAATAACCAGGCGAACAGATATTCTTTTTAAGTATACAACGTGCTTGAATTGCGCTTGTATCTACAAAGGGAGAGAACATCGCATGAATCACTTCAAATTATCACTGGAATGATAGATAATTGGAGTAGTATCACAAAAACAACTAACACATTACAGCAGAAAACAGATAAATATGAATGTGTCTACAGGGTTTTGAAAATTTGTTACAAAAATCATAAACTCTAAATTATGTCGTCAGATTTATATTCCTTTTTTCGAAAATGCATCTATTCGTGATGAATTATGATACTAATCGACTAAATGATATGATTGCATGAACAAATTGGTGAATGCATAAAACTCACAATCGGCTTCAAGACCAGGAGGACAAGTGTCAACGCATTGCCTGTGATCAAGATGTGCATAATGATCAACATCGACCAATAATTTAGCACCAGGACACGTTTCACATTGTTCCGCCTTCGTGCAACTTCTACAATTTGGACTACACGCCCCACATTTATCTCCTTCAACGAAGTAACCTTCATCACAGTGCGATACACATCTGTAACACAGACACATAAACGTTTACATGAGATAATCAGCTACTGATATAACAGATGCATCACGCAAGCTTCAACGACACAATGTAGATATGAATAGCTAATTGATTTTAAAAAAACTGCACATGCAAATTGAACGAATAAATGGAATATGAATGCAAATAATATACTTGAAACCAGCTCGATTTCTCAACGACTGAGTAAGATGCTTGCATGCAAAGCAGCTGACCGCTGAACGTGATTCACTACATCCGACACATTCCGGATGGCAGTCTGGTGCTGAACGCAGATCGCCGAAACTGATCGTTGCAGGAGTTGGCTCGTTCTGTAAATTATATAAACACGGTGCATTCATCAACAACACTTCCACGTTTTTTGGAAATACCACACAAAAAAACTTTCACTCATCCCTTTACCACCGACATGTTAAACTGTTGTGAGTTTTACGCTTTGATTAAGTTCAATATTGTGATTATGACTGAGCTATAAGAATTGGTTAGTACATGACATTTCAACAGATTGCTCCATTCACATGCGAATCGAATCAGTGAAACGAATCGAAACCTGTCGCTACCTTACTCTGAACATCTCCATCAAAACACATCCTCAGATGATCACGAAGAGACTTTCTTCCAATGTATACAACTAAGATAGAACTACTGAAATTATCGATCAATTGATACAAAAACTGGTCAAAATAACTTTTCGTGTGCATTCGAATGAGCATTGTAATGCGTAAGTGTTGCTTAATGGTTGCTTAATCATCAACTTATGCTTGCCATGAGCTATCTTTTAAACACAGAAGCACCTATTTGATCTAAGAACAACTCCATTATTCGTCTAGCATCTATTTACATGCGATGTTGTAACATGATAATTTATGTTACGAATTCATCGCACAAATTAGTTGTTGCTCACCACCACAAATTATTGCAGAAAGTATACAGCTCTTGGTAATTTTACCAATTTTTGGAAGATGGAAAAACATTAAAAAATACTTATTACTGATACAGCAGCTAAAATTGTTCTCAATTAGTATGTTAAACGATCAAAAAATTATCCGACACTCGGAAGGTATTTTCAGTGAAAACGGAAACTGAAGGCAGAAAAGAAAATGAAAATTTCTGCATCATCATCATTATCATCAACCCTCCGATGCAACACAAAAACACCATTCGATGGCGCTCAGTGATCGAATACTGTAGCAATCATCAGTAAAGTAGTCGATTTTTTTACAGCTCAGTGAAAATTCAACTCATGCATGCAGTATCGCTTTACAGACGTTTTTGTTCGAAGCAGCGCGATTCTGTCTCATGCTCACAGAGATGCGCACGTGTTAAAAGATGTCACATGATGAAATCATCCATCATGTTCTGCTGGCATGGAGGATGGATGGCATAGTTGAATTAATAGTAAAGAGCGAGAAATAGAGTACACTAAATAATGAAGATCGATTGTTTCAGATGTTTTCTTTTAAAGAGGATGAAATATTTTAAAAGAAACTTTAAGAAGCACTTTTCCGAAAATTTTGATTGGCAACGACCACTCTAATTCTCCACTTATCTCCAAAGTCCCAAGACTTCCGTAGAAAGAAAAATGTGGTGATAAACAATGATGATTTTTGCACCAGTTGAAGTCTATTTCTTTCACGACTATTTGTCTCTGCACCTCTTTTTTTCTAAATGATATTGCTTCCTAAATTTGCCATACTTCTGAATGATTGCTTTATGCATTGTCCCACTGAAACTGGAAATAGTCCATGTTGCCAATGAAGAACAAGACGTCATTTGAGAGGAGCGGAACAAACAAATTCATTTACTATCAAAAAAAGTCGTTCCAGAGTATGAATGCTTCCAAACATGTAAGAACCTCTGCAAAGAACTGCTCATTTGAACCGAGATTCCACAGTATCCCAAAACTGGACCCATCATTCGAAAGTGCTTATTGATCGCACACTACACTCCAATATACCACGTTTCGAATCATGTTCCCATCTCGATATCGGTTATACCGAATACATTTCAGCAATCGTTACAATTCAAAACTGTCGTATAATGTGAAAATCATTCATTTAATGCCAACGAACTGATCCTTGAGGAAGGAAGTGATTTTGTTGATGAAAGATTACAGCTTGTGCTTTTGCTAATTGAACAATTTCATTTGTTTAGAGCACAACGAAGTGAGGACCGAAGGTGAAACGTTTCATCAAACCGTCTTAATAACTGATCATCTCCCTCATTCATCTATCTGAACCCTGAATCTTGAATGCTGATTGTGTGTTAATCGATGAGCACTGTTCAGTTATTGAAATCCAAATTTTCGTAGTATATTCGAGTTGTAGATTGCGAAGAACAAAACACAACGAATATGGGCAAAATTTATTGATAATGACATGCATACACGAAAGACGTTCGAAAAACTGATGAAGAGAACAAAACATGAATACATTTGACTCTGAGGGGCTTATGCAGTTAGACATGCACAAATACGTATTGTTATAATAGAATAATGCGGTGATGACTGAAAATGAACGATGATAATAATAACGCATGCACCACTCGCATTTACAATAAAACCTACTCATTCATTCACTCATTGGAACATCCCTCATAGACGTGGTCAAGCCAATCACTTTGTCTACTTATGAATGACTTTCAACTGCTACACAATAAATATCGAAATAGGCTTTAATTCACATAATCACCGATATGATTAGGTGAAAACGAAAAGAAAAAATGCTAAACAGAAAATGCGAAAAATTATTCGAAAGTAAAAAGATGATGCAATTCGTAACTTTCTCAAGCTTAGTGGAAGAGTATGAATGAATTATGTCAAGAAACGTTCAGCATATACTAATCTAAACGAAAAAGAATGCTTCAGTCAAGTTTCATCAGTAACATTGTAAATTCCAAAAAAATTCACTTCCGAAAGAAACAGTGACACGCGAAAGAAATCGACACATCATCAATGAAAGAAGTTATTCACGAAAAATGCAAATGAACATATGAAAATGCAGACGACAAATACGAAATATGAACAACTTAAATGAATAGAGCAGCTTGATGGATGATGAAAAAGAATTAATGACGGTCATAAGAATGAACATCTATAATATTGAGTATGAATACACAATGAAATTTAGCACAAAACAATAATTACATCAAGTTCTTGTCGAAGCTATCAACAATAGGCTCCTTAACATCTACTTGAAANCTGACTGAAATAGATAGGTTAAAATTAGAAGTGATGATATGTTCTTGAATAAGTGCTCAGGTAAGGAAGTGACAGTGACAATAGGTTACACCTTGGTAGTAAAGATTAATTAAGAGGAAGCACATCAAATTGAGGGCTATAATTTTCAAATGAAGAAAACAATGAAAAATACAAGTGAAGAGAACGACCGAAGACCTAAGGTCACTTCGATGAGCATCACTCTGATTGGAACTACCAAAAAGTGAACACACCAGTCAATAAACACGAACAAATGATCGTAAAAATCCGATAACAATATTTTTCCGACCTCTCTGAAATAAACGTTGATTGAATGAGACAACTTATGCTAAGAACAATTCCCCTTCAGAAACGAACGCATCGCTGACAGAGATTTTATATTCTGCGGGAAACGGACAAGTTCAGTATTATTCTAAGTGATGCCGGAGATTAAGGCGGGGTCGGAATGGAACTTACGTCCACAAAAATATCATTATCATCGGAGTTTCACGCACACAGACAAACAGAAAAAGATGCTGGAATAATACTCTGCATTGAAAGAACTTCGCAACAGAACGATTTTTTTATCGGATGATGTTTTCGTCTTTCGAGGAAATGGCATAAATCTGATGAGGTAAAAGGTTTACAGAAACAAAAAACCAACTGCAGAAAGTTTATTTTTACCTCGTTTACAAATTTATGAGACTATGATTCGAAAAGAAAACAATTGATTTGTTTAATATCATACTTTTGCGTTCTTTTATCAACTGGACACAACAACAGTGTATTGTTTACAGACATACAAAAGAAAAGAAAGATGATGAACGCAAACAACATCTCTTTTCTAAAACAGTCGCAAACTCGCCTCTCACAAATCCAAGCCAAAACGATACGAGTTGATTTGTTTGAGATAATATTTGTAGAAATGGCAAGGAAAACAAACAGAATTAAAAATTGGTATAATTAAAATTAAGAGAGCTTAAAAAAATACGAAAATTTCGCAAAGCCCTCAACTGACATGGTACACATTGACCGACAAATTAGAATTACATCTCAACTAAGAATAGGTATCTGTAAAATGAAGAAACGCCAATAATGAGCAAAGATGAGCAAAAATATAATATTGATTCATACCGGTACTTGGATACTTCAATAACCAAATATCACATGGAGAGATAGATGAAGGAAGAGATTACAAATCGGATTGAATGAATTGATTTTATGAAGAAATCAACTGAAATGAAATACTATATGATGAGATTATGATTAATCAAAAGTCATCGACATATCATCAAATGCATTGACTCCCCATCACTTTCACAGTGCTCGGAGAGATTAATTTTATGCAGTCAATTAAATTAACACTTCGAAACGATCAGCTGACTCGTACACTCAGTGAGCACACTGACAGCAATTCCGTGCAAAAAAAGTCACCTTGTGAATGTTGTTCTCTAAAACTGAGCGATTACATGACTCATTTTCAAAGCATACTGAGTGGAAGTGCAGAGGATTGCTAACTCATTGTGGTCGGTTGTTGCTGGAATGTTTGATGAGTGAGTGGAGCAGCACTGTGAATGATAATGATCAGAAGCCAAAGTATATGAAAAAATTCTGATGAACAAACAAAAAAAGAGGACTGACTATGAATGAATAAAGAAAGCAATAGCGATTAACTGTTTGCGTCGGTGGTAGGTGACATGGGTGGAGAGGTTAGCTGACAGCCGTGAGGCACAACAGCTGAAGCACGTCTGCACGCGAATATTGCAGCAATTGCGATTAGTAACAATATACTCACTTGAAGCACAACCATCACGAGCGGTAACGAAATCTGCAGATTACTGTGTCGACAATTTCACTTTAATTAACCGTCTCATCAAGCACTTAAAATTGACATACACAAATCAGTGCCCCTAATCAGTAATATCGCCAAATCGCCTATCAAATAAGAATGGATGTGTGTAGAAAAAACAGCCGAAAAAAATGAACTGAAAACAATCTGCTAATAGAATGAATGAATTTGGTTACGACAACTGATTTAATGAAA